AGAATCTGCTGTCAAGCTTGTTTGTTGACTCTTATAACTTCAAGAGAAATACTATAGTTTTAATGCAGCCAATCCATATCATTCATACAATGTAAAATATATAAGCATACTTGTGCAAGAATTTTTTAAGCTCAACTTTAAAGTTACTAAATATTATCACCACCAGACCACTTCTACTGTTAAAGAATCTTTTACAAAATATTATTATTCTGTATTATATTGTGAGATCAAGATTATAAATCTCATGTTCAAAACAGAATCTGTTAAAGATAATCTGTCTGAACTTTCTTATGTAATAATCTCTATATCTACTATTTTGTCTTATGTAGAAAATAAGATCAGAAATATTTAATTCTCACTTAACTATTTCACTGCTTGTTTAACAGATGAGATTAAGACTCTTTAAAGTATTATTAAAACTAGTCTTGTAGATTTTTCTTCATTATCTTTACTTGTCATCAGACTAACTTCTATCTAGATCAATCTTATATCTTCCATCAACTGTCTTGTTAATATTGTTGTCTCTGATTTTTGAAATATTGTAGAAATACTTTGTTCTTATGATTCTTTATTTATTATATCTACTTCTGCTGCAGTGCTATCTGTTATTATATCAAAGATACCTGCAACACCTGAATCTTGCTTGTCTATAGCTGGTTTATCATTATTATAACTGTATCTTAGATGCTCTTGCAGTATATCTTCTTGCTGTTAAATTCTTTATTTTGTTGGTGTGTTGTGATCTTTATGTTTGTATTTTCTTACATCTATCTTTCTTGATATATAAGGTAGTTCACCACTAAACAAGCCACACCACTAAACAAGCCACACCACTAAACAAGCCAAATTTCGCCAAATGCTCCACACAACAAATTTATTAAATATCTCAACAACCAGATCTTTATTATTAAATAGCTATTAAATATTAAATAAATGTATTCTTTAAAGCATAGAAATTAGTATAGTTAGGAAAATAAACAGGTGAATAATCTAATATTATAGTCAGAGCAAGAGATTTAGAGAGTAGATAGAAAAGAATTCAAAGAAATGTCAACAGTAAATTTCTCAGCTAGAGAGTCTAATGTCTTGCTAGAAATACTTGTAGAGCTCTTACTTTCTCTTTTAAAAGATTGTATAGACTCTCTGTAATAAGACTCTTTAGTAGAGAAGTTCTTCTGACAGTATTTTAAAGCCAGCACTTGAAGCTCTGACTGCCAGTATTTATTAGTACATTCAACTACTTAGTTTTTCTTCTCTGCTAGTTGTAAAGTCTTCTTCTTCTTATGAGTAATATATTATATCTTTCTTTATCTAGCATGTTTGATTTTTTTGATCTCTTGTTACTCTCAGGCTTTTTTATAAACATTCTTCTATTTAATTCATCTTTTTTCAACATCTCTAGCAGCCTGCTTCTTTTAAAGCTCTTGTTAAAGTTTTGTTTCTTGTATTTAAGTAATTTTATTAGCTTTTTCAGCCTCTATTTCATCCAGATGCTTATGTGTCTTAAGAACTTTTATTGAAAATCAGAACTGTACTTGACTAGAATTATCTTTATTAAGTAGATCTAGAGGCTTGCCTCACTTGCAGTGTTGCTTCTTTATTACTAGAGTTAATCTTAGCTGCTGATTCTTATATTCCAGCAGTTTATTATAAAGAGTAAACTACTTACTGACTTGAATAATCTGTTCAATACTCTGCAAATTTAGACTGTGCTGGAGACATATACTCTTGATCTCTTGTCAGAGCTGGTGCATATTGCTAGAAATAGAAGATTTAACTAACAGTATAAAGACTTAAGCAGTTTTAAATCAGTATAGTTAATATTGAAGATTCAGAAAGTTAATTCCAGTCTTTATAAAGTCAGCAAGTATATTTTCAACTATTAAAGTTTTTTTTCAAGTTACATTAAATAATCTTCAGAAATCTTTTTTTGTCATTTGAATATAATTTATTTCTTGATATAGTAGTGCTTCTAACTTATTGAAATATGTCTTGCCCAGCAGTCTAAAGATTCTAATATCAAGAGATTATAAATAGTGGGCTGAATGCAGCAGAAGAATTATAAGAAGAATCTTTTTATAATCAGTGTACTTAATAAATTTCATATTTATATAGAAGAAATAATTATTTAGTAAAAGCAGATATCTTTCTTAACCAGCTTGTTTCTTAGTATGCTGATTGAAAATTTATTTTAATCACTCTAGTTTATATTTATTATTACTTTAACCATTTGTTGAAGCTGCAAAATAGGTCTATTTACTTTCATTATAATTATCTAGCTATATATTCTGAAGATCTCACAATTTGCTCTGGTAAATAAAAGCTGAAGATAGTGCAATTTCTTCAGCAGAGACTGAGCAGAGCAATAAGAGAAATTTTTAACTACTATTCTGAGTAACAGCATTCTTTCCAGCTTGTAGAGCTTTAATAAAGACTAATTACTTTAAGATATGGCAAAAGTCTAGAAGAAATTCTTTTTTATTAAAGTTATAGATGTTTGAGAGCTTAAGATTATATTAATTAATTTTCTACTTCAACTATTTTATAAGTAGTAGTTAAATAGTTAGTCAGTATTAACAACTGTAATTACAAGTAATTAAATAAATTATCAAATTACAAGTATATAGAAGTGCTTAAAGTACTAATAGTTATCTATTATCTATTTATTTTAATTAATTACTTTGAGATAAATATATTTGATCTTGTCATTATGCTACTCACAAAATTAATTAATCTAGTTAATTTCAACATTCTCTTCTGTCATCTCTTGTATAATATTTTGTAGAATCTGAGATGTAATAACAAGATTATAACTAGAGAGCTTGTTTATATAATTCAGAAGCTCTGTCTTCTGTATATTAGAAAGCTTTTTCTTATATTAAAAGACTGTTTTATTCTGAGCAAGTTGCAAGTCTTTATACTGTTAATGCAGAGTCTCTTAATTAACTAAGTACTTTCTTACAGTTGCAGTATAATTTAGAATCTCTTGTGATTTAAGATCTTTAATTACAAGTCTAATTAAGATGTTGTTGACCATGTTGTTGTATATTGAATGTTGAATATTGGAGAAATTTTGGTGGTGGAAGATTTGGCTTGTTTAGTGGTGTGGCTCACTTAGTGGTGAACTACCTTATAGATTTGTTCTTCTTCTGGTAGATATGTTTTTCTTTTAGATAATGCTTAAGAGTCTCTTTTGTGTTTTCAAGATTTTTCTCAGGTTCCCATGTTGATTTCTCAATAGAGAATCCTTTCCACTTCACTAGATAATGTCTCTTGCAGTAGTGTACTTTGTTATTCAAGATTTTATCTACTTTCCACTCATGATGATTGTCTACCAGTACTGCAGAAGAATGTGCTGGCATCTTACTCTTTCTTGTGTGGTACAGTTTCAACAATGAGACAGAGAAAATATTATGAATCTGATAGCTTAAAGAGAGCTTCAGTTAATATATATTATTTTCCACCCGAGACCAGGAAGGCACAGGATGCCTGTATTTTTCAATACCATTTCACTTATTGTTTGGGTTATACCATATCATTCAATTCTTAAAAATAGATGCAATTCCGCTGTAGCCATTGGTAGATTGTCTTGGTATTTGGGGTTTGAAAATAATTTTGTAGTGTTCGGTATGGAAGCCAATTCTGGGAAGCACTGTAAACGAGCCAGGCAGCTTCCAAATCAAGAGACAAGCGGGGGTATCAACTGGTTTTGGATCCCCCAAAAAAATGAATTTTTCTATTGGGTCACGCGAGACAGAGAGTCTCGGTCCCAGGCAGTCTTCCGTAGCGAAAAAGAAAAAAAAAAAAAAAAGGCATTTTTCGGAAGATCAGGATGTCGACTCATCCAAGTCGACCGTCCGCCACCCGGCTAAACGGGGAATGATGCAACCACCGGATAAAAAAAATTAAGAGAGAAGGGGAAAAAAAAAAAAAAATTGAAAGGAAATCGAAAAACCTGGCAACCAGCGTATGAGCAAAACGAGGGCAGATGGTGTCATGGAGCAAAGCGGTTATGATACGTCAAATCTCGCTAAAACGGGTAAACCTTCTTCTCCATGACACCGAAGCCAGAGCATGTACAGAGTACTTCGTATGTAACCAACTTATTGTGTTGAGAGAAGAGAACGAAGAAGAACGAGAGAGACAAAAAGCACAAGGAACTAAGTTAGTTATAGTTAGGCTTGGCAGATTAGTCAGCTTATTCCACGTGACTCTATGTAAGTTACCGTGGTGTGTGTACAGTATGGTAAGGCTGGTGAAATGGGGTCAAAGGGCGAGCCAGCGAAAAGCCCCTGATCGGCGGGTACTGGGCTGGCGCTAAGCGGGATCACGGCTGCTGGTTGGCCAGCCGCTGCGCTTGGCCGCGAGCGATGCGTGACTGGCGCCGGGCACACTAACCGACTACGGCTAGCGTGGGATGGCGGGCAGCGGTACGGCGCTAGTAACGGGGTTAGTCAGCAGCAGAGGTACCTGCCGCCCGCCGTAGCGCCCGCAGAGACCGCGTTTCTTCGTTCGAAACTACGACTGAACGGTGGTGGTGACCAGGCGATGCGGTTATTCTTGTTCCCTTCCACCGTCCACGATGACAACAGCAACACCAAACACCAACAATGAAACCCAGCCCTCGTTTGACCAACCTTCCACCTGCCACAAACCTTTTCTCCGCCCACAATCCTGCCCACCACCACCACCTCCTCCTCCATCACCACCACCACCACCACCACTATCCTCCATCCTCCATGCCCATCGTCCTCCCTGTTCCGACCGCCCGCCTGTGTCGCTCTCCTGTGCGATCCGAGTTAATACCTTGACGCGTTTTACCTGCTTCCACTAATTTTACTTTCCCACAATCAACCACTCCCATCTTTCAAAAGGAGAGCCTGCACTTCACAGCGTCACCCAAAAAGGTCCATTCCACCAACCAGTCCATCTCCTCGCCATTTTAAAATCTTCCCTCCCAGCTGCGGTACGGTGTTTTTACAAACCAAGCAGACAAAACCATGCCATCCCCAGCCTCGACTCCCTCGTCGACCGCTGGTCGATCGACCAAGATGAACAAGAAGACGAAGACCATCGTCCTCAAGCTCACCTCCTCCCTGCTCAATCGATTTCCCGGCGTCGCCACCCCTGGTGATGACCAGGAAGCGAAGTCCAAGGCCTCGTCGTCGTCTCCCACCTCCTCCCCAACACCCGTCGGTCCCTCTGCTGCCTCTGTCGATAATGCCTCCGAGCCTCGATCGAGCCCACCGGTCGCTGAAGCCGCTGCCACAGCTGAGTCCTCCAAGAAGAAACCAGGCACTCCTTCCAAGACCGGCACCAAGAGAGCAGCTGGAAGCGATGCTGGTCCAAAGCCCAGAGCTCGACCAGGTCCGAAGAAGAAGGCCAGATTGTAAGTCTCCTCAGCTCTTCTCTATAAAAAAAAAAAAAAAAAATTTTTTTTCTTCTTCCCCCGTCTCCTACCTTGATTTTCTCCCTTTTTGTCTCTTATGTCTCTCGTCTTATCTTATTCAGGTAGACTAACACCCGGCAACAGGGACGACGGCACTGTAGACAGCAACGGACGAAGCACCGGTCCCACCACGACCGGAACCCACAAACTCGGCCCCAAAGCCAACCAGGGAGCTATCAACGCCGGACTTCGCGCCCTCGACCGAACTGGCAAGCCCTGCCGTAGGTGGGAACGCAAAGCATTCCAGCTCAAGAGCTTCACAGGCACCGCCTGGCAGGTCCGAAGCTGGCGTGCTCCTCCCAGGCCAAAACCTGCAGACGTCACCATGACCGACGCAAACACAGCCGCCGCGACGCCAGCCGACGATACAAACGCGAACAACAAGGACAACATCGCCTCCAGTGCCGTTGCAAGTGAAAGAAGCAACGCTGGAGAAACAGCCACTCCTTCATTTCCGGGCAACGCCGAAAGCTCTCCCGCTCCGGTGGCGGCTGCGGCTTGATATCTAATATCTTTTCCAACTTTCCCCTTTTTTTTTTTTTTTTTTTTTTTTTTTTTTTTTAACAGAGCTGTTGGCTCTCTTTTATTTCAAAATGATACCATGTTTTATTTTTCCCCTTCTCTTTTCTTCCAATTCAACTTCCCTGTGTATAAAATACTTTGTTTTAAGCATGTACTCATACTATCGGCGTTTTTCATGTTACAGGCGTCTGTCTTCTCTCTTTTTATGTCGTCGGCATGTTGCGCAACCCCCTTTTAGAACACTGGGAGAGAGACAAAAAAAAGAATAATAACTTTCCTTCATAATAAGGGCTTTTCTTTGTTCACCCCACCCTTTTTTTCACCTTTTTTTTTTTTTTTTTTTTTTTTTTGCTTTTTCCTCTTTTTGTCATTTTTACTATAAGAAATGTAAAATCCTTATTCTAATATCACTCTACGCTTGATCGGAATGGGGTTTCGTACATATTGAAAGGTACACACCGTCTCTCCACAAAAGCGCAGTGTATTTCGGGGTGTTTTAAAAAGACCTGGCAGATCGAAGGACCTCCTTCATGAGCGAGAGATATTGACTACATGGAATATTGGACTAATATGTCCTTATCTTTAGAAAATCAAGTCCCCCTTTTTTTTTGTCCTCTCTATTACACTCATCTCACACGTCTATAACAACAACCTCTCCCCCCTCCCTAGAGCCGAAGGCCATACCTTGCCCCTTGCCTGCCTGGCTTGCTTATTCTTGACGCTCCTACGCCTGATTAACCATCAGGACAACAAGAACAACCCAAGCAACCGTCTATCGTAGCCAAGGTAGAAGAACAAGGCATTTCTCACAAGTTTCAACTGCAATCTCATGCTTTAACTTAACTTAGGTCGGGTTAGGTTAGGGAGTAAGGTATGCAGTCTAGTTATATGCTCTGCCTCGAATAACCTTGATAAACCACTATCCTCCTCCTCATTCTCCCCGGCCGCAGGGTTCACATCAGGTTAAAAAAGAAAGGGGGACAAAAAAAAAAAAAGAAAGAAAGAAAGAAAGGCCGCAAAACCATGAAGGGGAGGAGGATCAGATACAACTTGATCGATACCATGAAAAAGGAAAACGGTAACAACAGCCATAATTAAAAGAGAAGAAAAGAAAAGAAAATAAAGCCATGCTGTTATTTAAGGAAAAATAGGAAAAATAAATATGCCTGGTTGACTCCCAAACCCCTTTCCTCCCCGCCTCCCATTCCAAATACTTTGCATACTAGTTACCCTTTGAGTGGTCCCAAATTTATCCTGTTAAATAGTCATTTCGAACATTGATAAACGCTCCTACGCCGCCGTCCTCGCTTATTTCGTTGATGAGCGCCTCGGTCTGCTGATAGAGCCGCTCCAGGGCCGCGGAAGAGGATTTGCCCAGGGACACTATTGCGAGAAAGGAAATTTTTTTTAGTAAAGAGCTAGATATAAACCAAAAAAGGAGGGATAAAAAAAAGAGGAAGAAAGAAGGGAGAAAAACGTAGCAAAGAGAGGTTACATACCTAGAATCGCAGAATTAAGCTCCTCTGCGACCACAACCCGCCCACTGGAGTCTAGTAGGTGTCCATGAGGCGACGTCTTCGGGTCCGAATATGCAACCAAGGAAAATATATCATTCAGCGTCTTCTCATATTGCTTCTTGTCATCGTTCATGTAATCTGCTTTTAACTGCTGCCCGTACTCAAGTGCTTCTTTCGCACGGTACAAATCTTTCGCCGCCGGCTCGGTGTCCATTTCCTCGGGGTCCTGAACGTCTTGCATCTGATGGTCCAGTTCCATATCGTGTGTGAAAATATCTCCGGAATTGTCGCCTGCCGGCTCATTGGTCGATTTGACTCGCTTGCCCGGCTGCGAGGTCTCCGGTTCGGAATAACTACGCACTATCTCCAGGAATTTTCTGCATCTTAACCGGAAATATATCTGAGGATTGTTTTCTAATACGGTGTCATAGTAAGTTTTTGTCAACTCCAATGCCTTGTCGATGTCTCCGTCAAGTATAGCCGTGCGTATCTCTGCGGGGGAAGTCAGTGGTCTGGGAACAAAACAGGGAAGAGATGACATAGCGTACGTTGTCTGTTAACCGCATCGGCATCGTCTTCAATGGTATAATCTTTCAATGGCGTAACGCGGCCGTTTTGCAATGCTTTCGTTTCCTCTCTGACCTCTTCGGCAAATGCCCGAGCAGTTTCCACATAGCCGTCATGGGCCAAAAACTGTGCGACAAGTTCTTGAAGCAGCACTGACTCGGTTAACGGTGGATGTAGGTGTGAAACATTCGTAGACCGTATATCCATTTGGATGTTGCGTCTCTCTTGCTAAAAGAATAGCGCAAGAAATAGTCCGCGTTAGTTTCGTACAATCTTGGGTTGCAACCCAGAATTAACTTACAGCCATCATTCCATCAATATCAAACACAAAAGGGAATTGCCCAAAATTCGTTTTGACATGGCATCCAGGATACTTCTTCATCCCAATGGACGGAAACACTTTGCCGAGCTTCAAGTCACGGAATGCATTGCCTGGACGCTGAATTTAGCCACATGCATAAGATGAGAGCAGCAAGCTTTGAACATTCCACCAACTTACCAAGGAACATTCCATTTTTTGTGAAAAACGCGGTCCCCGTTGCAAAATTAACACCGCAGCCGATGGTGTCTTCCACTCCAAAGGTAGGCCCATACGGCTTTCCTTGTCCTTGATTGTCGCCAAAAAAGGTCTTTCCATCGTCTCCATGATAAGCCCACGATTCCTGCTCCCAACCTGGAAGTCTCTCCAGAGATGCCTTATTGTTCGAGAACCCCATACCGATCATCCTATCGGGGACCCAGTCACAGGTCAGCAACCACATTCGCAGCCAGCAAAATGTAAGAAAGAGGCATAACAACAACAACAACAACAACAACAAGGACATACCCATCTGCTGATTTCGCTATTATAGTAACCTCGTAGTAGTAAATCCCACACTGGGGCGGCATAGGATGATTGGCCCGAACGGCAGCCGCTTCAAGCTCTTGTTTGTTCGCTTGGCCCATGTATCGGACCTCCAGCCCATCACCCATTAAATCCAAACCGCTATATTTGTCCAACTCGTTCCACCTCGAAGGTAAAGGCGACAATGTATCCTCGTCGCTCGAAGCGTTATGTTCAATGATATCATACGTCATTCCCCGATGAGACGGCGCCATCCGGTGTAGATTGGCATTGCTCGAGCTCGTAGAGAGGGAGGGTGCATTCGACGACTGTGCGGAAGAGGACTCCTTGTGCCCCGTTGCTTTAGACTTATTAGCCGCCGCCAACTGAGCGATATACTTCGAGCTCTTCAGATACGACGGCGTGAAGAACTGATTTGTCTGCTGCATGAAGATCGGCCCTCCTGCTCCTGCTCCCCCTACTACTCCTCCTCCTCCTACTGCTCCTCCGCTCCCGTATGCCAGGGCCTTTGCAAACTGCCGCGAGTGGTCCGGCAGGCCGGCGGCCCTCCGCCAGCTATTGTTCCCAGAACTTGCTCCACCGTTCATCTGCATTTCTTCATCGAAACTGTAACCCGCCTGCCTGTGTAGCCGGTTGTACTGAGGGGGGTATGAACTGCTCGGGGTGGCTGTTCCCAGACTCGCGGGGGCGCCAGACCAAGCCGGAGGGTGTGTGGATGCGGCTCCCGAGACGACAGAGGCGTACGACGATCTTCGAGGGTAGGATATTATGTTGGGTCCCGAAGAGAAAGAAGCTGTGTTGGGTGCTCTGCCGGAGCCTGAGGGGGAGTGAGGGACGTTGGTCATTCTTCGGCCACGGTAGAGTCGGAGAGACGATCCATGCAACGACAGTAAACGCAGAGGACCATAGGCATTCACGGACCGGGGAGGCGATTCCAGACAATCCTATTGACCAAATAAAGCGACGGAAAAAAAAAAAAAAAAATATGATCGCTAATACCGGAGGGGAGGGGGAGGGAACAGGTGGCTCGGGCTGTTTGGAGAGATGCGAGGCAGCGATTTCAAGCTCACAAGGTCTAGAAGTACCTAAATAAAGGAACACAGCATAGTGAAGACAGAGGATCCTTAAGTTTTAAAAGATTCTGTAGATATTATCTAGAGGGCGAGGTCTGAGAGAAAGAGGTCACGTTGGTGGAAGTGCAGCCTCTCGCCATGACATTCGAGGAGCTTATTTAAGTGATCGCCTGGCACCAAGTACGGAGTAGTTTACTAACAGCCAGCCAACCAACCAACTGGGAGGGGGAAGGGCTTTGGTCGTTTTGTTTTTTCCCCCCAGTCGATCTCACCAACCGCATCATCCGGGGCAAACACCAAATCAGCCACGGTTGGACGGTGACGAGACACTTCCAAGAAGCGCTTTTCCACTACATGGAACCAGCCAGGATACGTATGCTATGTTTGTTGATGAGACGAAACGGTCTCTTGAGCAGTGAGCAGAACCAACTTATCACGTCAATCAACTGCCCGGCTGCCGAAACTTGGCCGTTGAATCATCAACAGCCAACTAACTAGTTAACTAGTTAACCGTATAACGTAACTAAGCACAGACAGGAGGCCAATGTTCCCATCAACCAACCCGCGGAGCTGCACTCAGACGCAGATTTTGCATCCATTTCCAAGTCCTTTTCATCGAGCAGGTGACCGCCCAGCTGAGGAAGAAACTCCCGCGTGAGCCAGACAGGCCACTCGGAACCGACCAGGCGATCTCCGTCCAACGCCCTTTTATAGTTTCGCGATGCTCCTCCAACCAACCTCATGGATTCCGCACCTTGTCAGCTCTCATACACACCATGTTCCCTTTGCCGTCCCACTAGGTCTGGCCTTATATTTTTTCAGGCAGAACTAGACCTCCGGGTCGCTTAACCATGATTTATATAGTACATAGCTACTTGACCACCATACGCACTCAGGAGACAGTCCTTCCAGATGGTAACTAAGTATCTGTCGCTGGATTGCATTAGCACACTGGCACTTCCAACTTTTGCTCGCCCGGGCAATTCGCGCTCTCCATGGCAGCAAGCAGTTGTTGAAGACAGCCTCGTCCCTTCCCACGCATCCCAGGCCCTGTTCTGCGCCGGAATGGTTGTTCTTTCCAAAGCGTTGCCAGCTCCGCGAGTTGGAGCTTTTTGGACGATGATCTGCCCCGGTGAAATGCCTCGCGCTGGGTTCCTGGGAGAGGCAGAGCGCCTTTTCCTCATGTGCTTCCAATAGCAGTCAAACTGAATATCCTCAGCAGGTTATCCAGATATACCGACATCCAGTATACCCTTTTCTTTTTTATTCTCTTTCTTCCTTTCAAACTGTGGTCTTTAAATCCCGAAGAAACTTAACACGTCTACTTTCTCCTCACCTGGCTGTGCAGAAGTCCATGCAAAACAAACTGCAATTAAAAAAAAAATAAAATAATAATAATAATAATAATAAAAAAAGAAACAGAAGCGCGATTTGTATCGGCTTACCTTCCATGCGGTAGTATCTGGCCGGAGGAAATCGGGATCTCGCTCTCTAATGACGATGATGGGTGCATTGGCGGATCCAGCGACCCTTCAGCTCTGCAATCGCGTTCTGCTGCCCGTTCTCTTCTTCTTCGCCATCGTCGCCAACGCAGCGTGTGAATGCGGCTTTCGGATGAACGACACCAGCCAGTACTTCACCCACATCATATACAGCAATTTCACCCAGTATTCACCAGGCAAGAAGCTCGCCTCGAATCCGGAGTTTAGACGTAACTGGGCTATTCAGAGATGGAACATGCCGTCGATCAACTGGGCCACTCCGCTGCCCGTCCTCAACGAACAGGAGAACGTGTATCTGGAAAACGGACACATGGTTCTTCGGCAGGTCGGGTATCCCAAGGAAGGCATCCTGGCGGGTCGCAACGTCAGCGTCGCATCTGTTGCAGGTCAGTCGGGCGATCTGCTGCACGGGAGCTTTAGGACAGAGGTCAAGATTGAAGGAGCGGAGGGCGGAAGCGTTGGCGCGTTCTTCTGGTACCATGTCGGTAATTTCAAAGTTCTTTAGGATGCAACCGTAAGGGCTGACCTGACCATTGCGCCCCTTGCGGGGGTTGTGTCCAGGACGATCAAAACGAGATAGACATCGAGGTTCTGACGAGGGAGATCAAATCCGACCGACTTCTGGTCCACTACACAACCCACCCGGCGATCGACGAGGACGGGGACGTTATCAGGAATGCGACGGCCATTGTCCCCGTCGAAGGAAACGACCCGGCGAATTGGTTCCAACGGCATCGATTCGACTGGAGCAAAGAGGAGTTGAGATTCTACCACAACGGTAGCCTGATGCACGCAAACAATATAAGAATACCGGACGTTGGAGGGCGGGCGCTGCTGAACCTGTGGGCGGACGGGGGCATCTGGAGCGGAGCGCCGAGCACGACAAACGTCTACATGAGGGTGAAGTACGTGATCGTATACCACAACACCACGGCCAGCGACAGCGGGCAGGATGTCGAGTTCAACGACCGCTGTGCCAGGGCCGGCGGGCCGTCGAATGAAACGGTCTGTCTGGACGTCTTCGTGGAGGATGGGGCGGTCGATCCTTCGTCCATCGGCACAGCATTGGCACCACTGCCGTTCTGGGTGCTGTCTCTGCTCTGGCTGGTGCTGGGGGTTATCTTCACAAGTCTCTGAGGGTATCTTTTCTTTTCTTCTTTTTTTCCTTTTCTTCTTTTTTTCCTTTTCTTCTTTTTTTCCTTTTCTTCTTTTTTTCCTTTTCTTTTTTTTTTTCCTTTTTTTTTTTTTTTTTTTGGTTTTGTTTTTTTCTTTCTCCTGCGTTTTGGTTTGAGGGGATGGAAACACTCGAAGTAGCGGGCAGGATCAACTAAATGTACCGATGATGTAGTATGTATCAGAATGGATGAGTATTACAGATACCGACTCGTTGATTGATTGATTAGTTTACGAAGTACCTTTCTCCATACATACATAGTTACTCCGTACAATTACCTTGAAGGGCAGATATACGGAGTACATACGTACATGACGCACAGTACAATCCTTCTCCGCCGTACGCGCTGAAACAGCCGGCCCATAACCGATATACGCGCGGTCTGGTTGGTCGCCGGGAGGTTCGGTGATTTGCCCTGTCGGGGCTTGCTGGGCGCTGATTGGCGGGTGGGCCGGGAAAGGGTGGGGAATCGGCGGGTATCGTCGGAGGCCGGCTCAATTCCGGCCAGGCCAATCAGCGCTCAGAGTGGTTTGCTTAGCTTTGTGCTTGGCAATAACCTTGTTGTACCGCCTCGCGCTGCTGCTGGCGGTGGTGGTACATCGCCAGTCCTCGAGCCCCTTTGCATCCTGAGAGCGTCTGGTCGAATCGGTGGGCGCGGAGACCACGAGAGGGCGACGCTGGAGAGCATCCGAGTGGGCGTCCGACCAGCGCTCTTTGCGCGACGCCGTTTCCTGGCAGTATTTCCACTCTGTCGCCGTGGTGCAGCGGTGCTCCAGTGACCAGGAACACTTTGCGTATGTACCTTCCTCCCAGTCACGGGATCTCATCTGGCCGACCTCACGATCTGGATATCAGATTTGCCCCTGGAGACGCTGTGTCCATCCTGTCTGCGCGCTGTACTGCCCCGATATCTTCCTCCCGATGCTGATGGCGGATATCGAAAGCTGCATGCCCTGGAGGCTCGGATGGCGCGGAGAGAGGTGCCTTTGCCCGTTCCACATGCTGTTTTATATGTCTTTCGTAATAGTGGCTTCTGAGGCCGGTATCAATTCCGGCCTCATGAAGGTATATAATCCTCCATCTTTCCCCCAGAATTAGCCTCTCCTCCTGGCGTTTTCTCTCTCAGCAAGGCAGCGATTTTCACGGAAACTTGAGCCCAAGCTTCCCGAGCTGATCTTTACCCCCCACGCCTTTGATCGCTTTTGAAGGCATAAAAGCATCTCTCTCTCTTTGCCATTCTGATATAGACGCAAACTCAACACTCTTCCCCCTCCAACAACCTTAAAACTTGCATATACACCTCTGTTTCTTTCTTTCTTTCTTTTTATTTTGCCGTCCCCAATATTAAACCGTCATGCCGACCCTCGAGGATCGTTCTTCCGCTACCACCATGGACAAGTTCCCTCACGTCCTGGATGATCCGGCCACCTTGCCTCGCTCGCTGGATCCATTCACCATCACCACCTCCACTGGCTTCATGCCTCTGATCATTCCTCCAACCACCCTGCCAGAGGTCTTCGACCCCTTAACATCCCTCCTTGCTCGGCTCCCGGTCGAGAAGGCCGATGGCACCCCAGGTCTCCTTGCCAACTTCGAGCTGGGTCCAGCCGTCCTCAAGGAGCTTCCCGACCTCACCGACGAGGTTGACAAGCTCGTCACCGACGATGGCAAGCCGGATCTGTTCACCATCACTGCCGTCTTCCGGGACTATTCCTTCCTGGCCTCCTCCTACCTACTGGAGCCTTGCTGGCAGACCTGGAAGACAGATCCTGACAGCGGCTATGGTCTAGGAAGGGACCGCCTTCCACACTCCGTTGCCGGTCCCATGTATCGATGTGCCGAGCTGTATGTTGCTTCTTCATCATTCCCCCCATATGCCGAATTGTTCCCTTGATGTGTAATGTTAAGTGTCAATCAATGTATGTATGTACTAACATCATGTTGTAGTTTGGACATACCCCCTTTCTTGTCCTATGCTGCGGCATACTCTCTCTACAACTACACTCTTGATGATCCGTCCAAGGGCCATGAGTACTCCAACTTGCGACTTGTCCGCGCCTTTGAGCGTGGCCTGGACCCTAAGAGCTCCGAAGCCGGGTTCATCCTAACCCACATCTACATGGTCAAGGAGTCCTACGCCTTGATCAGCGGAGCTGTTCGCATCCTCAACTCCCTTGACACCGTCAAGGATCGCAAAGAGATCAACGATGCTTACAGACAGATCCTCACCGCCATGACCAAGATCGAAGAGTGCATGGAAGGTAACGTTTCTATTAAACCTGGGATAACAAAGCGTAAACGCTACTGTCAGCTGACCACATCTGTAGACATGTGGAAGAACTCTAAGCCGACTGAGTATCTTGCCTTCCGTGTCTTTATCTTCGGAATCACCTCTCAGTCCATGTTCCCCAACGGCGTGGTGTACGAGGGAATCAATGATAACAAGCCCCTGTACTTCCGTGGAGAGAGTGGTGCCAATGACAGCATCGTACGGCTTCCCCCAACCCCAAACAAACGATACTTCAAGCCTGACCTAACTCCTTCCGAATAGATTCCCCTCTTGGACCACCTCCTTGAAATCCCCATGCCCGATACCCCACTGACAAAGATTCTTCATGAATTCCGGGCCTATCGTCCACTTCCACACCGTGAGTTCCTAACCCATGTTCGCCTTCGATCAAAGCAGCTCGGTGTCCGCGAGTTCTCCATCCAAGACCCGGAGACCGTTCTCTTGTACCTGAAGACTCTCGATCACGTTCGCAGCTTCAGATGGCGACATTGGCTCTTCGCCAGAGAATATATTATCAAGCGGACTCCTCACCCAACAGCAACTGGAGGAAGTCCCATCGTCACGGTATGTTTTAAAACAATACCCTTTTTTTTTTTTTGGGTTACCCCAAGAAGCACCCCTTTCCCAGACACTTCAGAAATCTGACTACCCTACCGTAGTGGCTTCCCAACCAACTATCTGCCGTTATGGACCTCATGATCTCCACATACGACGAATACGTTGCTCCTATGATCAGTAAAGAAGCTGGATCCAACGGTGCTTCGTCCTCTGCCGCCAACGGTGAAGCAGACCTGGGGTCTACGAAGCACTATAGAGATCAGGTACAGGAGGTGATGGAGACCGTGCGCGACCAAAGGATCAAGCTGGCGAAGGAGGTCGAAAGGTGGTGCGCTGAACGTGGCGTCTAGATAAATAAAGACCGCCGACGCCGCTACATACGGTATGTACGTATATACGAGGGCGGGACGATGCAGCGTTCTTCAGTTTTCTTCATTTCTTTTGTCTACATTTAGCAGGAGGATCAGCAGACCCCCCGAGCGAAAAGTCAATATGGTGGATTTCTGCTGCGAAAGAAAAAAGATTGTGATGATTTCTTTTTTTTTTTCGCCTTCTGCTGCGTTGAAGCGCTGCGTTTCTTGTTTCCGCGACTTGACCACGAAGGGAAGTTTTGAGCGCTGAACAGGGCGTGTCACGAATTTCATTTGTCTGTGTTAGCTAGATCCTAGCTGTTTTAACGAGTCGAAATATAGTTGGGCATCCTTATGGTCCTTTTTGTTTTTTTCAGATGCTTTTCCCGTCCTCTTAAGCCTGGTATGGCTGGCTATCGTTTTAAACTGTTCCACCAAGGGTTAAAAGCTTCACTCCGAGATGCGGGAGCCTAAACGCCGCCAGTTCCCTCCCCTCACGCGGAAAAAGTTATGCGAGAGGAAGTTCAGAGTGGGGTGTATCGCTTCTGGGCTGAGTCCGCAAAAATCTTTACTCACATCCAGCACGTGTCTCGACATTAAAACATGTTGGTCAGAGTTGTCGGGTATGTTATCTTCGTATTCTTCCCACAAGGTGAACTCGTCCTAGGAAGCACACCAGGGGGGCCTAGAAAACACTCATGTGAGCTCAGCTCGGGATATCTTTTCGGCGTGGGGGGAAAGCGACGGTGGAAGAGTCGGGTTTGAGGTGCTTAAGATCGGCTGGATTTAACATGCAAGCCATACAGCGTTCCCCTGCACATATAGTCATATATATTCGAGGGATATAGTGTTGTATTCTCCTTCACTACGGCAGTTGTGAAACCTGTATATTTCGACTGAGGCCATACTGTATCGCATCCCTGCTCACAGTGTCGACGACTATTTTCTCAATTTTCGGCGTCTCTGCGTCGACGAGTTGCTTGATGGTAAGCCCGGAGATTCTGGTTGCTGAGAGATTAAGGACTTTCAAGTTGGGCATGTTGTTGATGATTAATGGTGTGATGGCGTCGTTGACGCCTATGACTCCTGAAATATCCAGATGGGTGATTGACCTGAAGAGGCCTCTGGTGATCAAAGGTTCTAGGTGCTCTTGCGCAAGGTCCGAACACCATGAGATGGTTAGGTGAGTTAGAGTCCTCTCGTTGTTGACTAGGAGGGACTCTAGCATGTCAGGACTCAGGGGATAGCAGAACTGGAATATGGCGCTCTTCAGACGGGAAAATTGACCAACTGGGTTCCCCTGCAGTGGAGGGGCGAATGTGCAATGTTCGAGACGCAAGTACTCCAGCGTGACTGGCAAGACAAGAAGTCCATGCAAATATATCCTCATGTACGTGAATTTCTTCAGGCTGGAATAATCTGATAGAGAGATAGCTTGCGCCCAAGGAGAGGAAGGGGCTCCTTCGAAATGGAGCTCTTCAAGATTTGGCATCACTTCTTTAAGTTCGGGCTTTAGAACCAGAATTAGCCCGAGGTCGTACGGTAATTAGTAGCAAGAACATAACTTACATGCTGAAAAAGAATGTTTCCTGTGACGAGGTATCCCGGAGGGTGGCTGAAAAGGATCCTCAAACAACGCAAATTTGAAAGTTGCGGCAGAGAGTCAGGAGTGTCGGAGGATACGTCGACGAATGCTTCCACTCGCTCGAGGCGCGGGCAAGACGACATTATATCCCAAAATTTGTCCCTTGGAAGCGTGCATTTGAGCACGATCAAGGTTTTGAGATTTTTCAAATTGACGACAGGGAGAGAGTCGATCTTTTGCTCCGCAGTCACTTTAAGGTAGTTTAGGTCCGGGCAGCGAGACAAGAGCTCAAGGACCTTTGGTATGACGGTGGGATTTATGCGGGCAAGGCTTGCTTCTTTCACGCCGCCGTTGGTTCTGCACACAAAGGCTCGCACTGCGGAGAGACTGACCGGTCTTTTGGCGACGGTAAGGTTGAGATTTTTCCACTGCCTCGAGAGGCCACTGCCCAGCTTGAGCCAAAGCTTTGAGACTTGTATGAATCGTCTTCGCATGGAAGTTAGCCCAACAGCAAATGATGGCACTGACTGTTGTGGTTTTTGGTGGGGGGGGGGGGGGGGGGGGGGGTGGGGGAGGAGGGAGGATTACAATGTGGACTGCAAATCTAAATGTTCCAATATCATTGACACCAGTTCGGGAGCTAGAACGGTTAAGGGATCCACTCGCTTTGGAGGGATAATGCGTTTCTTGGTCTTCAGCATCAGAGCTTCAATTTGCTACACGACCGTTAGAGCCATGGATGGACGATAGGAATAATCTGGCTGATCCTAAGGGTATTGTTAACCGAACCTTACGTTCAGGAGCGTGTTCATCTATCATGCGAAGAGAATAGAAATAAAGCTTGTGAGCCTCCTCGAATTTTTGCATCAGCTGCAGGATCTTCGCGGTTCGAAGGTAGCCCTAGGAGCTTATAAGACACGAATAGATAGTACTACGCCAGAGAGCTTGGAAATACCCGCGGGTCGGACTTGTCGATTCGGATCATTTGTTTTCCATCTCTCAAACCAGCTTTCAGGTCACCGAGAGCACAATGTGCGGCAGCTTTCCCATTGAGTAAAGCAACTGAGTCTCCTCGTCCCAGCGCAAGGGCCTTGAATACTCTAGTCAGTGAACTCAGCTGCAACCACGTGGGGTGTGAGATGCAACCTTTGAGAAAGCCTCGAGTGCATTTTTATAGTTTTTCCAGCGATACTGTGACTCGCCATGCCTCTGTAGCGCCTTCACGTCCCGCGGCATCGAGGGACCCTGCTGCGGAGGCATTGGTCAAATCCAAAACCCCGCATGGGGGGTTGGTCGGTCTGGAGAGGCCAACTGGGTGTCTTTTGGGGTTGGGGCTCGATATTATCGGCAAGCTATGCTCGTGAACCTCTAAGCTGATATCGGCCGCCGGGGAGCTCTGAGGCGAGCTTTGTGACGAAGTGTGCGACGCGACGCGTTTGATTGGAAGCGCCCGGTTTTGTGGGGTTGTTTCGGATGCATCTCGGCCCGAGAGGGGCACGGGCCAACTTTCAAACTCGCCCTTTCGAATATTTACTTTCTTCCGGTTTGGGCAAAGAGAGAAAAAGAGAGTTGGAAACTCCCAACTCAAATCGGCCGTCCTGTTCTATCTGGCAACGTCGCAGACCGAACGATGAGGCATGGAAACGCACAATTTAGACACCGCCTCGGACTATCTTAACAAGTTACTGCTTGCCCGTGGGCTTCTCAGGAATGGCAAACCCATCGATTTCGCCGAGCCGACAAGGGCATCGGATGGCGTCGATGGTACCATGACCCGGGTCATTAATCTGATTCACGACCTAATAATAAGAAGAGATGTGCGTTTCTTTTTGCGCTTAACCTATTCTCCGGCTATTCTCCTCCGGAACTAACGCGCCATTTCAGCGAGAAGCCGAACAACACGAGAATCTGGCCAGTATGATTCGGAATCTCCGGAATACAGAAGCGAAACAAACTGTTGAGATTGTACGTTCGGAATCATGCTTTCACAAGCTTCATGCTAACGTTTATTTGCCGATGGCTAGGAACGTCTAGAGGCCAAGGTGCAAGAGCAAGGCCGCTCTCTCGCGCTCACCGAAGGACAGGAACGGGTCTTCAAGGCCAACCTTCGAAACGCAGAGGGAACGATACGAAAGTTGAAAGAACAAGTCCAGCGGATGAAGTCTACTATCCAGCAGATACGAGCCCAATACACCACCGATATCCGAAAGCGTGATCTCGAGATACAGAAGCTGAAGACTCGCGTGACCGAGCGGACTCGCGGCAAGAAAGACGGGCCAGGAGTCACAACGGTTACCATCATACCCCCGCCGAAGCCCACTATTTCTCGGCAGAAGTCCAGCGAAGGTGGAGAAGGGGTGGATACTCCGGGATATAGTCTTAAGGAAGAAACAACGGAATTTCTCACCCAGCTCTGTCAAAACTTGAGCGACGAAAACGATGCTTTGATACGCCTGGTGCAAGGCACCATAAAGACCTTGAAGGAGCTTCAGGGCTTGAGCGAAGCAGATGCAAACGATAGCACTTTGGGTCCAGATTCCCTCGAGCCAGAATCGGACCCGCTAGTCGGACCGATGCCCCCATATGAAACCCTCTCACAAGAGATGTCCTACGTGCTTGACCAATTAAGAGCACTCTTGACGAATCCGTCGTTTGTTTCTCTCGAGGAAGTCGAGATTAGGGATAACGAGATATCCCGTCTGCGGGATGGCTGGGAGAAGATGGAAGCAAGATGGAAGGAGGCCGTGGGAATGATGGACAACTGGCATAAGCGTATGGCATGTGGTGGTGATGGCGTCAATATAGATGAACTGAAGCGGGGGATGAAGCTGGGGTCTAGCACTGACCATGGTGTCGCCCACCGAGTGCCAGACACGCACGGATCGGATGGCAGGGGGAACTCGCGATGAGCGACTTTGGAGGAGGCATCCATGGATGCCTAGACTGCGTGATGGCGAGCGCAATCGTAAGTCAACGAGGAGGAGGAGGAATGGTTCGAGTGGCGCAATCAACCCACTCATGAACTGCTTCCTTGAACTTTCGATGCACGAGGTGTGTGTTGATGTCTTGGAGATCCTTCTTACATCGATATTCCTAACCATTTTTCATTTGGCTTTTTAGTTTTGCCAAAGTGACTCCAAAGACTCAAACCCAGTCCTCCAACGACAAAACCCAACAATGTCGTCAACTTTACAGCTGCCAACAAAAAAAAACAAATTTTGGCAGTCGACATCTGATGCGGCTTTTGCGACGACTTTGATTCTAATAATGCTTGTTCTACAGGGCCCGACCTTTGAGTCAATGGTCGCCACACCCTCTCCAGCCGTGTGGTGTGACACAACATCGGTTGGGGATTCAAAACACAACCAAATTGGTCCATGGATACGGAGTAGATAGTTGCCATTCACGACTGAAGAGGTGGGAAATATTTGCAGGATTGATTTCTGTTTTGCTTTTTCGATGGCCAGTATCCCAATCTGACCTCCGGGCTGCATCGTGAGTTTTGTCCCCCTTCTCTGGAAGAGATATATGAACCCCCCTCCTTCCTTCCCCCCCCCGGTTTTCCCCTACCTTGGTATTCCGCAGAAATGCAGAGCAGGTCCCTTATGCTTCCCTCTCCCCGACCCGAATTGCATGTACAGTATATAAATTTGGATCTTGAGATGAGACTTGTAGTCGATTTGCGCGATAATCCCTCCTCCCCCCCAAGTACCCGTATTTTCAATCTGATACCCTAGATATAGTCATTATTTCCTAAGAATTGAAGTAATGTCTACAATGGTTTTAGTTCTCCCCAACAGCTTTCTAGCCTAGCCGGCCATATCACAACGCATTATTAGTTACCATCGCCTGGATGGTGCAAAGTATGATTAGCAGCCGATGCTTCACCCAAAAGCTAGAATAGTAAACATTCTGGTACTGGTAATATTCCCTTCCTTTTTTTTTTTTTTTTTTTGTTTTCCCATTATCCCTTTTTTCTCACAGGTCTCTCCCCAGGATCCAGCCCAAAGTATTCATACACACAAGTAAAACGGAACGCTCAAACCAGAGAAAAAGGGAAAAAGACAAGAAAAGAATGAAAGCAACCAAATGCTGATGTTATCGCTAAACAAAAATGCCGATAGCGGCAAGAAGATAATATTTTTTTCTTTTTTAGTCTTTTTTTTTCAAACTAGATCAAGGAGCAAGAAAAAAGAAAATATTTTCCTGCATTAAATTAAATTTCTTTTCTCATACCCCGTATCTCGTACATCATTTGAAACATTAAAAAAAAAAAAAAGGGAAAAGAAAAAGAAAAGAAAGAAAAAAAGGAAAAAAAAAAAAGGAGAAGAGAAGAGAAGAGAGAGAGAAGAGACAGGGCGAGTAAACACACACACACACATCGAGAAACGGCGATCTAGCGCGAAAGGAGATTGGGAAGAGTCAGTGCGTGCGTGAGAGGGGTGTGCATCCAGTGCTTAGTCCTCCCTCCACCCTTTTTATGTCCGGTACAAAGAGTGGGAAAGGAAGTAGGCGATATAGAGCTCCAAGTAGAGACTCGTAAATGAAGATATTGGGACGTGAAAGGAAACAAGGGGGAAGTCGGGATCGGGCGTCGGGCGTGCATTCAGCTGAGTCAAAGCGCTGGCAGTGTATGGGGAGAAATATCCAGTCGATGATATCCCGAGAGAAGAGCGTAGATAGCTTCTTTTTCTTTTCTAAAAAAGAAAAAAAAAAAAAAATTATGGTTTTTCGTTATTATCTGGACTCGATCGGTGTCGTGAGTCGTGATGCACGACGAAAACGTGTTTTCGATCAACAGGGGCGACACCTCGGAGTCAAGGGGGCAAGAACGGCCTGCATCCTTGCCAATGGTTTCGAGAGGGCCCGGGGCGAATTAGTTAGCGTCGTAAATCGGCGCCGTCGCTCGCGTCTGCAATTTTCCACCCTTGTTCCATCAAGGACCATGTGCCTCATCCATGCATTACATTCCATTTTATTTCCATCAATTCTCCAAAGTCCCATGCAATTTCTCAATGCTGGAGAACCATGATCAGATACCGGGTGCCATTACCGGAATGGGCCCTTCATACTCTGATATTCGAAATCCGACCGACCACGTCCCTCCATCGTCCTGACGGCGTGGGGCCGCCCTGCTGAATGCCTGGGACATGCGTATCCCACCAATACCACTTTTTCCTGAACGACATGCCCCCTCTGGCCGTAGGCCGTACACGGATCGACTGCGTGTTTGTGGTATAGACAGCGGCACACGGAGTACACCTCGATGAGTTGATAGCACATTTTAGCGGTAGATCACGAAACCGACGAAAAACGAAGACGAGCGAGCGAATGGTGGGAACAATGGGTTGGGGGGGGATAAAATAAGGTATCTTTTCTGTGTGTAGACCGTGATGCCGATGTCTTCGATTCAAGTGCAATCAATGTCAAAAAGGAATGGGGGAGAGACGGGAAGGAATACGTGACGGGTCGGGCTGGGTATGATAAGACAATTATATTAAGATCAATGAGGGCGGTTTGCTTTGTTATAGCCAGACAAGCAAACAAGAAGAGTGAGTGCCTCCCGCAGCAAGCAAGGAGAGCACGTCAACGGAAAAGAATTAAGGTGAAAAGTAAACAAAATAAAAAAGAACGCTCAGACGAAACGCCGGTCTAATTTATTTTGGAAATGAAGGTCGGTGGTGGAAAAAGAAAGCCGCTTGAGAGAGAGAAGGATGGATATAAGGTGCAAAGTGAACGGGGCCAGTGGTATATATAGCAGGACTAGAGGCAATAGGAGCGGAATCGAGCACGAGTCATAGTTTTGGCCGTTATTTTTTAGACCTCCCAAGGCAGTTGAGGAGTGGGGCTATGGGAGCCTAAGGGGACAAGGAGGTCCAGGGCCCTATGGGTGGGGAGACCCAAGAAAAAAATGGCACGAGGGTTCTAAATCGGGAACAGAGCTGGGGAGGAATAGGCAAATAAGGCCAGAAAAAAGGGAAAAAAAGGAAAAAGAGAGCAACCAAACAATGAGTGCGTCCCGTCGTTTGTGAACAGCATCCAGCTCGGGCAATGGAGTGGAACGATCGCGGGCATTACCCGGGGACACAAGTGTGCTGAAGATCAGGCGGGGGGGAATTCTCAAGCAGCGGACATGACCGAAACTCTGTGCGGTTCAAGCTTGAGCGGGAAAAAAAAAAAAAAAGAAAAAGAAAAAAAAAAGAGAAGAGCAAGCGTGGGCCCGCGGGAGGGATGGAGGTCGGCCAAGTGTGGCCTAGAGCGATCCAAGGCGCCGGGCTGGACAGCTTCAAGTCCAGGAACCCGAGGAACAGAAATATGCCGTACGAAGGGAACACAATTGAGCCACCAACTCGTAACTATAGCCGATGGCGTGTGGGTTCTTTGGTTCTGGGGGGAAGCCAGACACATATCAACGGCCACGAGGCCCAGGCAGCCTGTCATTGGTGGAGGCACCAAGGAACAGGGCACTTTGAGCTGCAGAATCCGAGAGACAAAGATAGGCAGACAAAACTGACTGACCGACACGCACACGCACACACACACACACACACACACATACACACACACACAGACAGACAGAGAGAGAGAGAGAGAGAGTTCAGCGGTGGAGATCGCCAGCCAGCGATGGGGCTGGGCATCCAGCGGAAAAGAGGCTGGTGCTCGCTCAGCTCTGGTGGTGGCCCTGCATGGCGGAGCCTTGGCGCAATCCGTCACCGCTGGCCGCTGCGATGCTGCAGTTGCGCTGGACTATGACCAGTCGATGTCCCCAATGGCGCGGCGACTCGGCCTGCATATCGCGGACCGTGGGGGCCTGCTGCAATTGACCGGCGACGGGGTCTCAGAATGTGATGCATCGCAATTGTTGTCGACGAACGACGATTTGTGCGATTCCACGGACGTCATTACTAAGCCTTCTTTAGTTGGAACTTTGCCCTGGCGCACTAAAACACTTTGGCAACGAAACTAGCGAAGCCCCGGGGAAAACCTTAGCGCAGTGATTGACGGCCGTGAGTTGCGATTAGCCGAGTTTGCCACACAGCGGTGGAGTTGGGGTTCGCAACCGCTGGCACGTCACATCCATAAGGCCCAGTTTATCCCGAGTCGTCGCTAAAAGATCCCAGGACAATATCACTGGATCCCCCGGCTGAGTTAACCGCCTGAGGTTTTGTCCCGATGCTGAATAAACCCTACGCTGCTCTGATTGGTTGCCCTATCCCACCGACCGGCACTGCTTGCGATCTCAACGCGGCCTGCCTTGGGCTTTGGGAGTTGATTACGAAATACGGAGTAATTGATTCATCAAATTCTGCCTTTTACACCGCCGGTAGAACCATGTGACCGACCTGCATGTCTGTATGCAGATACTCCGTACGGGGTACACGGGGGCAAAAAAAAAGAGAGATGCCGATCCCAGCAGAAAATAACTCGATGCTCTCCTTTGCCAAGGCAGGCGGCCGACTCCACGGCCCAAGGCCAGGATCGGTCAGCCTTACCGTTTCCTTTCGTTCCCCTCCCCCCCCACCCGGCCAAGCATGAAGCGGTTTGGCGAGCGGGTAGCTACCAACAATACATACATAGTTACTCCGTGCACCGCATACCATACTCCGTACTCCGTAGTTATGTACTCCTGTACGATTCCAGAGCAATGGAATCCGACCACCGTTCCAGCTTCTAAAAATACGATGGGCGGGAGGAGGAGGAGGCCATTTGACGGCCAGTTTCCAGCGGCCTGTCACCGCGTGCTCCGACCAGTGGCCGGGGTTGCGGCGCAGTCAGCCCTATCGTGTTCGTGCCACAACCCTGCTGTGGCGGAGGAGACGGATCGGGAAAGAAACCAAAAAGGCTTGGCCACGACTTTCCAAAACCTCGCTGTCCTCCCCCCCCACCACACAAACAAACAAACACACGTAGGCCCCCACAGGAACGGTCATGTGCTGACGAATACAAAGAGAAAGACGTAAGTTATTCCGTAGAAGAAGGAGCGAGAAACTACGGAGTACTAAGTACAACTGGCAGGAAAGAACGGGGCCTTTTTGGGCTCCTTCCCCAGCGAGTTGCAACCGTGCATTCAGTGGCTGGAGTCGGCTAATTCCGTGGTGACGGGTCGTATATTAATAATAACCCGTGGCTTGTTAGTTAGCCTACGGAGTGGAGGCGAGTCGAGTCTTACCAAAGAGCTTCTTCAGACCTCCAGAGAGAGCAGCCGGACCTGGAATCTCCCTGGAGATAGGCTATCAGCTAGGCAGTCAGTCAGGAAGTGGCAGCACCAGCAGCACTTGGGTGATCAGTGTGACAAGAATAGAATCCTGCAACTCCCATTCATTCTTCAGAATCTGCCTTTCTACCAAGCCCGAGAACGCCTGTCCGTCTCAGGAGCAGCCCTTGCATAAGCTTTCATGTACCTGACCCCTACTGAGCTGAAACAGGGCTTCCACGCCCGCCAATCAGGTACTCGAATGTTGGAGGGGGGAGGGGGGCATCAAAACGGTCTCCCGATATAAACATGAAAGCTACCCGGTCGTTTGTTGTTGTTTTTTTGCCACCGCACCTTGCTGTTCATCTGTTTGGAGCGAGGAATCTTGGTGAGTCATGAGTCTTTCTACTTTGTTACTGGGGTTTCTTTTTGTTGGGAAAAGGGAATCTGCAAGCTAAAACTTGTCTGAACATCCAAGAGAATGGTTGGGGGAAGAAGCCCGAAGGAAAGTGGTTTGGAATGTAAAGACGACTGGATCCTATCCCCGACCTCTCAATCCATCGCACGCAGGGTTCCCCCATAGACCATGCATATTGTACAGTACATACAACGCCATCTTAGGGATCAACACCGGGTCATCTCATTGCAAAAAGAACGAACAAAAAAGAAAAGAAGAGAAAACCACTTTCTTCACATTGCATAATCATTCAACGCCCCAAAGGCCAAACCCCTGGCCAGCTGCAGCCGTAGAGTGCTCAGAATCTCCTCCCCCTTCACGTCGCTCCTCACCACCTCCCGCCAATCCCACCCCCTCTTCACGCCTGCATTCCCGCCACTTCCAGGTCTTCCGACCAGCACCCCAGAATCCATCGTGCCCCGCGACCGCGTGTCCAGCACTTCGCTTCCGATAAGCGAAAAGCCGCTGAACGATCCTGACAGGGATGAGACCGACTTGCGAAGCAGGTTTGTAGGCGAGTGCGATCGCGAGTCGACGGGGGATGTCGGCGCCGTGCTGGTGCTATCGTTGAGGTTGCGATGTTGCGCCAGCGCGGACTGGAGGCACTCTTCGCACTGGTCGTAGACGCGGGATGTCACGGTCTGCAGGTCCTCGATGGCCGCGAGGATGATGCGCAGTTGGTCCAGCGTGAAGAATTGGTTTGGATCTGCTGTTGAGTGGGTAACATCATCGTGTTAGAAGGTCTGTATCAAGGGAAAAAGGAAATAAAAGGTACTAAAAATAAAAAAAAAATAAAAAAAAAATAAAAAAAGAGAAAAAAAAGAGAGGAAGAGAGAAAGAAAAATGGAGACGCACGCTTAATGAGTGCAAGTGCCTCTCCCAGTAACACCATCAGTCCATCAACTTGCACGGCAGTTTTCCGATCCTGATCGTATAGTCCGCCGTAGATGCTGTCCACCGCGCTGCCGATTACTGCCGTCAAAGCTTGGGCAGCCGCCCTCTTCCTCGCCAACGGACGATGCTTCGGCTTCTGCCCTGCCTCTAGATTAACCTCTTCGTCGCGAATATCGTAGTAATTCCGTAGCGTTGCGTAGCCGCTGAAATAAAACTGAAGCATGGCCGCGCCTTCGCTGTCGACGGATGCGATCGCTGCCAGAGCGGCACGGGGTTCGTCGAGAAGAGATCGCAGTTGTGAGTCGAGCTCGGATCTAGGAGGGTATGCGGTGGACTGGACGAGACACAGAGATATAAGCAGGTCGACGACATTCTTGATTTTCTGTGAACAATGCGCCCGTGCGTAGCAGAATAAGGCGGTTCCGTATTCTTGCGAGGTTTGGGCAATCTTGTCGCCGTATCGCTAGAAAACTGTCAATCAAATATAAACAAGGCTAGCATTACTAGTTAGCCTTACCTCAGAAATCTTGCGTCCTTCCTCATTGTAACCAAGTTCCGTGCAGAGCAGAACAAGCCGGTCCATCTTATCCGAAGAATCAATCACTACACGGTCAAGCAGCTGATTGACCTTCGTTTTCATGAGTTCCTGGTCGTCAAGACGGCTCATGATTTCCAGTGACAGCTCCCACCCATCCCTGGTACTCGAAGGTCCATCAAGCCGGCCTCGATCAAATATTCCCGACGAATAATTTACCAGAATGTCGTCTTTCCGGAGCTTCTGATCCGGCTGCCCGTAGCTCAGAACCATAAGATCGTTTTCATTCAGGCCCGGCATAGGTTCAGATCCCGCAGATGCGGCCAGCCATCCTCCAAAACTGGCGACCTCGGCTGTAGCGGCGGCGATGGGCAGAGACCAAGTCTGTGTCAACCGGAGCACTCCTTCAACGTTCCCTTCGAACAAGGAAGCAAGACCGACTTCACAGGGATTCATCGAGTTGATTCGGAACCCATCCTTGCCCAGGGTATCGGTGACACAGGTAAATGTGTAATCGAGGCGTCGCAGGTATGCCTCTTCGGTATTTATGTCGACAGATCGCGGAGATTGCGACCTTTTGGCTGCGAGGCGGTTCGAACTTCTGTTTTCTAGCGTGATATCGCTGTCATCATCGCCGTTCCACCACGCGGTGAGGGAAACAGTTGCTTCGACCCAGTCATCCGAATACTTTAAGATCGAAGCGACATCGCCCAGTATGATATTATAAAGCGCCTTGAGATGTTGATAGATTTGCCAGGGAATCTTGCTTTCCGCCATGCGAGCACTCTGGCTGAATGACGAAACACTGGATCGGAGGCTCAAGAGACCAAAATGGGAGGCCTCAAAGGCCTGGCTGTTCCCCATCTCGTCACGGTTCGAACCCTCTGCTAGATCCTCGAGCTCCAGAAGAGCAGAGGCGATCTGCTTTCGATATACACTCCATTCCATCCCCTTGATATCCCAATCGTCGCTCTGCACCCCCGGGCAAGCTCGAAGGTTGTGGAGTGTTTTATTCACACACTGCTGGATCGTTTGAAGCTGTCTGCCCTGATACCCGGGTTCGCTGCTCCCTTCCTCCATAGCCGTTCGAGCGTAAGTGAAATCAGCAGCTTCTAACAGTTGCATAACGATAGGAAAGTCTGCACGGAGCAGTGCGGCTAGGGTAATATTCCAGAATGTTGGAGAGGCCGTTGGGTTTGGTTGTTGTCTCTTCAGAGCATCAAGTCGACTTGCTTGAGGGGAATGGTACTGGTTGAGCCAATCAAACAGGACCTTTGGAATCGGTGACTTGGACTTAGGCTGTTGCGCAGAAATAGCAGGTCGGAACGGAGATCGAAATAGTTGCGAATTTCGGCTAGTGAATTGGCGTTGGAAGGCAGGAGGGTGGTGAAGCTGGAGGAGCAATGAGCTCAGGAAGCTGGCTTTCACTATACCCGACGACTGTTCTCCAGGACCAACACATCCGTTCTCGTAGCTGGCTGGACCGGATTCATCTGAATACTTTTTCCAAAGGCTGGCAAGGTCTTCACAAACTTCCGACAAGGTATTTTCCACAATCTCATCATCAGCTTCCCGCTCCCTTACCCGATCGTACATTCGGCTCACAATGTCCTCCATGTCGAGTAAAAAGCCACTCGGTTCGTCGACGGTGGCCATAGATTTTCTGGACGCAATATCACGCGCGATTCCAGGAAACGCAGATGGTTGTTTTTTCGTCTGAACGGTGCTAGAGGGCAGAGATTGGACCCAAGTCTCGTCTAGCTTGGCTCGTTTCGCATTCATCGGGTTTGAATATACCATCGACTTCCGGGTATTACCGGTGAAACGGCCATTAATAGGTGCAAACATAGAAGGTAAAGGTGCATCGTCTTCTTCCATGTCCATCGCACCGGTGTTTGTTTTTTCCATTTGCTCTTCTTCATCGCTCTTCCCGTCGTCGTCATCGAACGGAGTAAAGCTGTGCGAAAGCTTCGATCTGGGTATGTTCCTCCCACTTCCAATTCCCCGGAAGAGATTGCTCGGCGGTGCTTTTGTTTGGCGAGAGTTAAAGCTAGGGATGGGCGCATTTCGCGATTGCGACAGGGAGAAATTCGAGGAATTCGTAGAGAAGGACAGCAGGTCTTCCGTACCCTGAGAATTCACAGAGCTACCGAGGAGGGAGGAAGGAGGAGGATTTCCTGCGGGCGTGAATGATCCTGCGGACGAGGGAGGGTGTCCGAAAGGTGTTGAAGAAAATGCGCTTGAGCCGAAGTCTGAGGACTTTGCGGGGGTCGAAGGCGGATCTGAGTCCTCATAACGGCCCCCTGTAAACGCCATGGTGTTGGAGGCAATGAGTGTTCAATTGGTACAAAGCCCTCTGGTCACTGGCGCTCTCCTTTCGCCGTGAGAGCCGGCCGCATTGTTATTTTGGCGCGTTTGGATCAGCCCGAGCTCCAGACACCTCGATCGGATAAACTACGGGCCGTAAGAAAGATCATCACGTGGATAGATAATTAGGTAATGATCCTGGTGATTGCTTGGTGTCAAGCTATCTATGTAGCGCGGGCGAATACGAGGAATTGCTCCTTTCAGACGGACCTCCAGCGGTCAGAACCGCAAATCATTTTGACAGTCGATTGGTGTCCAGCATGGAGAATGCCTGGGCGGGGGCCCAGTGGCCAGTTGCGATACCTTTTCCTCGGACATTTGAACAGAACTGCTGATCCCTCGTTGCCACGCCACCACATGTAACTAGTTAATCATTCAAGGCTGACACTTGTCGAGCTCCAGCAGTCCCTCACGCTATATTTAAAGCTGGGCCCTAGCTCCAGGAGAGTAGCAAAATGTTTTAGAATTGCATCTTCAGTTTCTGGTCCAAGTCCACAAGCTGCATCACAAAGATATATTCTGCAGTGTTATAAAAAAGTGAAAACTTTTCAGCTTTTGGAAATGTCTCCTAATTCCCCTTCAACCGACCTGCCTTTCACAGATACTTCGCAACTCTTCCATCTTTACCTGACAAAGTCGAACACCAATTGGAATCTGACACTGGCGGATAAAACGCCGCTCTACTACGTTCGGACATTGGTCTTCACCTTTGGAAGACCAGAGATAACCCTCCATGCAGGAAACACACGCAATGGGGATGTTGTTGCTGTGTCCAACTTTCTCAAACTCTCTTCCAAATCCAAACTCGGTCTTGGAGACCCCGACAACGTTGGAGAGATGGTCTGGGAGGACTTGACGAAAGAGAGCAGGGACCACTCTCGATACCGGTTCGAGATGACCGTGCCGTCTGGCTCTGGCTTTGAAAGGAAAGGCTTCCTTTGGAAACGAACCTCGTCCGTAGGAGTTGATGGCTCAAAACCTTCTGTTCTCAGCGCGAGAAATTTCAAGTTCGTCGACGAGCAGACGGAGGAGGTCCTGGGTGCTTATACAAACAATGGACTTAAGAGCATCAAGAAGCAGGGGAAGTTCCAGCTTAATACGAGTTACGGAAAGGATTTTGAAACGATGTTTCTGCTCTCCGGCCTGACGATCTTGGAGCGTACCATTCGCCGGGAGGCAGCACGACACAGCGGGGGCGGCGGAGCCTAAGAACACAGAACATCCCAACCCGAACAGAACCGATCCCGAATGCGCCATCAATCGATCTCATGTTTACATCTGCAAACACGTATGCTTTAATGGCTGGATCATTGGTGTGCGGGCTCCCCAACGTTGATATCTCGGTGGTGTCAAGAAATTGGCCGTATGAGATGGATAATATATTGATGTGCCCGCCTTATCGGCTCATTTTGCTTCTCGACACCCTTTCTATTCTCACTATTTTCTTTTATTTTCTTTTCCTTTTTTTTTTCCCCTTTGTCTCCGGAGTTGCGATATATTTCTGCTCTATACCCATTGCTTATTCATTGATTTCTTCTCACCCCCTGAATGTGGGCTGGTCAAGGCTTCCTGATGAGGCTGCAATTAACTTCATATTTGTGGACTGTTTCCAACGCTGAGAGCAGCTTCCCTTCACGGTGTGCTTCCACCTGTTGGAATTTGCAAATCAGATATCTCAGTTTTTCCCAGTATCTACATGCTTCTGTTCTATGGAAGTCTGCTATTTCGATGCCGATATTTACACCTATATAGAATCTTTTTATACCAATTCACTCGCTTGTCCCGCTCGTTTACATCTTCTTCACCTTCCAAGAAAACATGCAGTACCAAACGATCATGGTATCTCTGGCCTTTTTTAGGGTCGGATACGTTTTCTCGACAGTGGATTGGCGCGTTTCCGTAGTTGCTCAATGGCGGACATTAATGGCGGAACTGGGACAGCAGGGGATCAAGGTGGGTTTTCTGGTGAGCGCACCCAGGAGTATTACGTCGTTGACGCTATGACGATAGTCCTCTCGTCTCCATCGGTTCAAATTCCAAGGCAATCCGATTGGGCCAAGTGTCCCAAGGTAAGAGGATGACTATGCGATAGCTACAAAAACATGGCGTAGAAGCCTCTGAGTCGGGGGGTTGATTCCTGGTTTGGAACACAAACAGGACTGTGCAGGATACACGGACGGGGTGCGGACCGCCTCCTGCGGCGGTACCGGCACTATCTACGGTCGTCGTAGTGCAGAGGCCTACTGCCGTAGCGGAAACAGCCAATGCTGGAAATGCTACTGGCCTTGCCTATGTATCGTCCCCCGCAGAGAGCGTCGAAGGAAACTTCACATGAGGCCGTGGACACAAATACGAGACGACGGCTGGAACTCACGCCGTATTCGGCTTCCAAACCCGTTCATTCGTACACTGATTCCTCTATTCTGATTAATGGAAAGGTTTTGTTGGTTAGTATATATATCAGGATCTTATTCTAGTTTCCGGACTATTACTTATAGCTTCGCTACGCCTTCAGGCGAATTAACCAAGACATATCGGTATCGTGCTTTCCCTGCGTCCATGTCTACTAAGGCATTATTCACATCATCCATACTCCTCTCTTGGATCCATGGCAGAACTTTCTTCTGAGCCGCCAAGTCAAGCATTTGTCGAATTTCATCGGGAGAACCAAGCTGGGATCCCGCAATGACGGTGCCCTTTGTAATCATTGGCCCAACATTGAAGGACGGAAAACGTTCCTCTGGTGCTCCGACCTGAATAAACTGTCCATTACGTTTGAGCAACCTAAGATACTGTGCGAGCGGGACGTTGCCCGACGACACGGTGCTGATGATAAAGTGAAGAGAATTCGCGTTTCTCTTAGCCCAATCCTTATCCTCATCTGTGGCGATGAAGTGGTCCGCGCCCAGCCCGTTCAAAGCGTCTGATCTTTTTGATTTGCTACGCGAGATCGCCACGACGCGATCACATCCCATGGCTTTAGCGAAAAGTAGGCCCATATGGCCCAATCCACCGATACCAATGATACCCACAGACTTGCCCGGACCCGCACCATTCCTTAGCAAAGGCGAGAATACGGTAATTCCACCACACAGAAGCGGTGCAGCTACCGCGCTAGACAATGCGTCGGGGATCCTGAAGACGAAGTAAGCCGGACCTCGCCAGTATCGCGCATATCCGCCGTATGACTTGCTTCCGTCGGGAAACTTGCCGTTGTACGTCCCCGTCCTGCGCGGACAGTAGTGCTCGAGCCCGGACACGCATTCTTCACAGTCCGGTTTCAGGCAGGAATTGCACTGTGCGCCGACGCCGACGCGGTCGCCGACCCTGAGATCCTTGGACGGCGAGGAGAGCGTGTTCACGGCGGATCCTACGCGCACGACGTGGCCGACTATCTCGTGGCCGACGACGCAGGGGTAGTTTGTTGGGCCCCAGCCTGAGCGTAGGGTGTGGATGTCGGAGCCGCAGATGCCGCAGTGGGTGATCTTGATGTCCACGTCGAATGGAGTAAAGGGCTTGGGTTTGAAGGTGGTGAAGGTCAGAGGGGATGTTGCTGAATGGCCGACCCAGCCTTCGAAGGCTGTGGGTGGTTCATCGTTGCTCATCTTGTTCAGCTGAAAAACGGATTTCTTGAGCCTGCTACCCTTTTTGATCCGTTGAGCAATTGTCTTAAGGAGAGGGGAAAAAAAAAAAAAGAAAAAAGAAAATTGAAAAGTGACTACGCTTGGGCGATTCCTCAAAGGTTCATCGACCTATATACAACAAAAACATATGCATAGAGTGGATATTGCGAGATAGAGGCCAAAACAGATAAGTTCGTGAACCCAGGGACATGGCAGTCCAAAGCTCTGATGGGAGCGAAACAGATCCTTTTCGCCCGCCTCCACGTCCCGAGGCATCAGGAGCCGAAGCCGACGGGGTTGGGAAGAGCCGCGAACCGCGGAGAGAAGGTTTCGGAACGAAGCCACATGTTAAGCGCGATAGACGCGGGTTGGTGGCTGGTGGCCGATCCGATGAAGCAAAAAGAGGTTCTCCCGATACTGAATTTGCCTTGGACACTCACCATAGCCTTCGGACACAAGTTGATATATAGCTTTGGTCATTAATTTACATCAAGGCATAAAGAACCATTATTTACAAATTGAGGGTGTTTACCCAGGTAAAAGAATGCCTGGAGCGAAACACATTTACCACCATCGCAATTCCACACAAGAAGCGGATTGCTGTTCCAACTTTCAATGCAAAAGGGAATAACCAGGGGCTGTTTCGTCTGTAGCAATTTGTGAATACCCCAAAAAGTGAATGAAAGCAGTAAACCTCAACGTTTTTTTTTTTTTGTTTTTTTGTTTCTTTTTGCTGGGCATTGTACCTATAACAGCTCATACTGAAGCGCATTGAAACCCAATCATATAGACAATGTGGTTTGGGAGTCAAAAGAAAATACAATTAAAGCAAGAAACATCTCTCATATATCATCAACTTGTCCTCCTTTCATCAATCATTAAAGCGCTGATGCTTAAAATGTTTTTTTTTTTTCTTTTTCCTTCACCTACTCGCGATCGGGCGAGCACAATGACGGCGTTGCCGATGCGTGGGTGACGTTTTCATTCTCATGTATAAAGCGACTGGACGTAGAATACAATTTAGACGTGTCGCCTGTTGAAGGGCAGCCGAGTTGGTCGATTTAGACTGTTGTTTTTGCAGGCAGTGCGATGGGTGTTTCGCACTTTCAAACCGCATGCCAGCAAAGCACGGCGGGGCTTAAAAGCCTAGCAGGTACTTCTACCGCTTAGTTGACAAGATGGTCGAACCAGGCTGGTTCGAGTACAATGGAAGGACATTCCAAAAAACGCTCCCATTAACCTGGTCAACTGTGTTGCCTTTTTTTTTATTAAATCTCAAAGACTTCGTTGTTGCTGTCAGCCACTTTGATTTGGACAAGCATGTGGACCCGAACAGGTGAGACGCCTTGAGCCTATACCTTTTTGGCCAACTTTGTAGGATATCCCAAACATAAAGCCAGAAAGGTACGCCATTCAACCCAAACATGCTGAGCGAAGGGTTCTACACTCCTTCCGGGTTGACACCACGGTGCAAAGGCGGGTTGCTCTGAAACTCGGAAAGATTCCGGGATAATTTCATCTTTTGCTCCATGGACTGAAAGCAATTCAACGGCGGATGCGGATGTTCTGGCGAAGGAGCTGAGGTCGTGCATACTCATATTCCTCATCAGAGTCAGAGCTACACGAGTCGAAGTCAGAGCCAGATGAATCGCAGGGAGAAGAACCGCCGCATCGCTTGCCTCCACAGTGGATCCGGACGCGCTCCTTTGAAGAGGTGATCGCGTACAGTTGGCAGCTGCATGAAGAGCTGGAGTCACTGAAGGAAGAGATCGACGATGGAGAGGTGCTGCCACCGCGGAGAGATGAGCTGAAGGCTGATGATGGGCTGGAAGAGATATCGGAATCCGAGTCGGAGAGATCGGCAGCCTGGAATCGAGCATTGAGCGCATCCATAGCTCGCTGGGTGACGTGGGAGCTCTCGCAGAAGCGGCGAGACTCGTAAGGCTTGGAGGGCTTTGGGTGCTGAATTCTCGACGGGGAGAGAGCACGGCCTCGTGCAACCTCGCTGCTGGGCGCACTGGTTCGCGAAGACGACTTCTGGCCCATGTTGGCGGGAACATCGAGAATGTTCAAGGTACGCTTGGTTGTGCGCTCGACGGTGGATTCACAGTCTGGGTCGTGATAGACATGATAACCGTCCAAGATGTACTTGAGAACGAATTAGTATTCCATTTTTGATTCCGCCAGTAGAGAAAAAAGGACCGCGCAAACTCACATAGTACCAGTAGCGCTGGCCGGGCTTCAGCATGGAGGACTGAAAGCGGAATTTTCCAGCCCAGGAAGCGGACTTGCCGCCGCTGGAGGTCTTTGAGAGTGGGAGTTGACCACGGTAACCGTCCCAGGAACCGAGCAGATGGACGGTCTTGACTTTGCCGGGGGTGTCGAGAGTGAAGTTAAGCTGCAGAGCGGCCATATTGCAGGATTGCTATTTGGAAATTCTTGACTAGAGGGATATTCCGGAAAGCAATGCAATAAAACTTTGACAATTGAAGTATAACTTCCCCAGGGATAGAGATAGGGATAGGATATTAAAAGAAAGTGTAATTAGGATAGTAAAAAAAAAATAAATAAATAAATAAAAAAATATTATAAGTATTAAATAGAAAAAAAAGATAGTGTCGTAGAAAACGGACTATTGTGTGACGCGGATAGACGGCGGATGAAGTCGAAGGATCAGCTACCAGAGCGTGTTGTCCTTCTGCGGCGAGTAACACAAGTGTCGTGATGGGGGTGGGTAGAGAAAGTACTTGAAGGGCGACGAGAGCAAGACGAGCTATCGGGTTGGTGATGTCGAACCGGCGACAAGGAAGAACAGCGTGAGAAACAATTAAGAGCCGAAGTAACCGGTACTTCGTGGTTGTTTTGACAGAAACAATTACGGCGTACACTTGGTTGTTTTGGTGTTTTGTTCTGAGGCTTCGGCTCTTGATTATTACGGCAATAGCTCGCTTGGAGAGGGAAGTTCAGACCAGCTGAACACGGAAGGGGGTAAAGGGGGGCAAAAAAAAAAAAAAAAACAAAAAAAGGGGGAAAGAACTGAATTGGGAGGGAAGTTGAGGATGAGGGATGGAAGAGGAAAGAGAGAGAGAACAAAAAAAAAAGAGAGGAAGGAAAGGAATTAATATACACATCATCCAGCGTGCCTTCCCTCACCCCATTGCTATTATTTCCTCCCCCCGCCATCAACAAGCGAAGATGTGACGGGAAGGCATGACGGCGGGTAAGCGGGTGCTGTGATTGGCCCGTCGTGACTGGGTGGGAGCAGTGGGGATTCCAAGGCGGGTCTAGCGTGTTTATTTATGCAGCCACACCAGCCCTGGTTGGGACTAGCGGGGATTATGCCTGAAGAATTGCCTGGTGCATCCAGCCAATCACCGCCCCGGTGTGTTTCCCCCTGCTATTTTTAGAGAGAGTGCGAACCTGCCTGACTGCTTTTCTTATTTTTTTTGTGGCTGCGGAGGAAAAGCTTTGACGGCCAGCCATTCGGTTGTCGGACTGATTGATCTGCGGGGAGCGCTGAGGGACGGGCTTTGCTGCGATCGCTGAAGGGCCTCTCAAGGTGAGCAAACAAAGCATCGTGGCCCATTGTCGTCGTTCAAACTTCAGCGTCAGAATCGCCCCGGTGTCTGGCAGAGCCTCGTACGGGTGAAGAGTGCCGCAGTGCCCACGGATGACAATGTCCGGGGTTGCGAACCGTTACCTTCGCCCTCCCCCATCACCGTTGCACAGACGGCGTGCATGGTCTGTTGGTTGCCACCCTCCCTCCCCTTCTCTGGCAGTGCGCTCGGAAAATGCGGGCACGGGAACATCGGGGCCCAGCCCACCCATGTCCACCCGCCCGGGGATCCAGAATCTCGCTCAATCAGCCTTCGATCATGCTGGTCCGCGGGCGTTCAAGGGTGAGGTCGGGAATGACCTATCAGACCGGGGGGGGGATTGGAGCGGGGTTATCGTCAACATCCTTTTCTTTTCTTTTCTTTTCTTTTCTTTGTTTCCTTTTATTATTTTTTTTTACGCGCCCGGGTAAATGAGGATCCATTCCTGCTTACAGAGGCTACCACATCACTTCTTCTATCTATTATCCACACTTCTATGTAGGTTACGGAGAACCCGGTGCGGACTCAGCGGCAAGCATGTAAGAGGAGTGTCAACACCGTCATCTGCAGCTCTGCATGGTACTGTACGTCGATGGAGATACCAAGAAGAGCTCCAATAGTAGACTGCTATCATTCATATTACTTGACTATCGCGCCAATTTTGCCCTGCTTCGCCGATCCTAACTAGACCAATCGACGCCAATTATAGCTGCTAGTAAAACAAGAAATCCAGTGTCTCAAAATAAAAAAAAAAGGTGAAAAAGGGGGGAAGATAGAAAGATAGAGGGAGAGAGAGAGTTTAAGCAACGAGAAGTCCATGTTGGAATGGTATTCTGCATGCACGGCAAGGGGGAGGCTGAAGAATCCAATCGGCATGAAAAAAAGGGTGCGGATCTTTTTGGTTTTTTTTTCTTTTCCTGGTTCTTCTTTTCTTCGGTGAGCACATGGAAATAGGATACATCAGGAAATCAAAAGAAAAAAGGTTAGCAGGGATGACGTGTAGACCGACCAACCCAAAGGCGGAGGGGATGCAGGGTCTCCCCTCGCATCCAACGCCTCAGCCGGCCGTCGCTATTGGAGAACCCTTGATCGAGCGAATCATTCCAGCGTTCGCAAACCCCCCCCCCTTCGCTCGCTCGCTCGACAATGCAGGTTGGGGGCTAGCGCAATGTCACTCCCGACCGCTTTGTATACATTCGTGCCGCGATATTCATCGACATCAGCTCCTGGAAGAGCAGCTTGGCGGCATAAGGTATGTGAACTTGCGAGATCTTGTTCTTGTTTTTGCAAGCTCGGCACTCGAAGTCGCCCTTCTTGAGTTTGCTACACCAACGCCCAACTAGTTAGCATTCGCCGCCATCCGGACATTGTTTTGTGTGTGGGGGGTTTTTTCCCCCCACATCAACCTCAAAGCAAGAGAAGGGAGCATAACTTACGCAATTGGTGTCATCAACCCACAGATGTCGCAAATGTGTATACGGAACGGATCGGACACATCGAACAGCCTCTCCTTCAAGAATGCGCTGGCACCATGAGCTATCATGCAATCGCGTTCCATTTCTCCGAATCGAAGCCCGCCGTCTCGTGCACGACCTTCGACAGGCTGTCTCGTCAAAATCTGAGTGGGACCCCGCGCTCGTGCATGGATCTTGTCATCCACCATATGCCGCAGACGCTGGTAGTATGTCGGCCCCAAGAAAATCTGGGCGACCAGCTTTCTTCCCGTGTGGCCATTGTACATCACTTCGAACCCACGTGATTGATAACCATGCTCCCGGAGCAGGCTGGATACCGAGTCGACAGTCACGTCCGTGAACGGCGTCGCATCTCCTTCATACCCACGTAGCGAAGACACCTTACTAAGCTGACACTCGATCAAGTGGGCAATGGTCATACGAGACGGAATGGCATGGGGGTTGATGATCAAGTCAGGGACAATACCCTCTCTAGTAAACGGCATGTCTTCCTGGCGGAATGTCACGCCGATAGTACCCTTTTGACCGTGACGAGACGCAAATTTATCACCAATCTGTGGGATCTTGGTAGTTCTCATCCGCACCTTCACGAACTTCAGATCCTCGTTGCTGGTGGAGACTAGTACCTGATCAACGATACCGCTTTCGGTGCTTCGTAGCGGCGTAGAAACGTCCAACTTGGTATGCTGCTTCGTTCTCTGACCCAGTTCCTCCGACTCTGGTGCTAATGGCGCGGTCTTTCCAATGATGATATCCTCACCAGAAACACGGACACCAGGCGCCACAATACCGTCGTCATCGACCTTGTCATATGTGCCATGCTTCATGCGTAGCGTATCTGATCTCATGGGCTTTTCGAATCTCTCCACCACCGTTAAGCCGATCATCTTTTCAGAGTCGGTGTACGTCCGGTAGAACAGACTTCGGAAAAGACCACGGTCAATACTGCTCTGGTTCATGATGACAGAGTCTTCTTGATTATACCCAGAGTAACACGCAATAGCAACAATAGCGTTCTGGCCGGCAGGAAGCTCTCGGAACTTCAGGAACTCCATCGACCTTGTCGTTGCCAGAGGTTTCTGGGGGTAGTAGAGAATGTTCGCCATCGTTTCCATTCTTTGATCGAAGTTGGTAAGGAAGACACCCATAGCTTGTTTACCCATAGCAGATTGGTATGTATTACGCGGAGATTGATTGTGGTCGGGGAAGGGAATGATACTGGCGCAGATACCCAAGATCATGCTAGGATGGATTTCGCAGTGAGTCCAAGTGTGTGCTTTCTGGCTGAGTTTCGACCTGACACGCCGGTTAGGATCTGATGTATCCTCCTCGGGGATATATCCAGCCTGGTATTGTTTGGAGACTTCCAGGTCTTCAGGACTCATGACAATCATGATTGTCTCTTCTTCCTCTGCGTCCACGTATTCGACGACACCAGACTTGACAAGTCCATCCCAACCATAATACCGCTCCCTACGCTCCTCCGGATCCAGATCCGCAGGTATTTCCTTGTCTGCTTCAAGTTTGCGAATATGTTCCTTGGTAAGCACAAGAGATCCACTATTTTCGCTCTTTGGATCATTGTCCACAACGAAAAGCGGTCGACAAACACGACCCGCATCAGTGAAAATCTTGAATTCCCGATCACGGATATCCCATACCAAACTGACCTCGTGCGAAATCATGTTCCGCCGACGCAGCGATTGAACTGTGCTCACGAGATGCGATGGATCTCTGTGGACTCCAACCCAGACGCCATTGACGAAGATCTTTGTGGAATTGGGCGACACTTGAGGTTCAAACTCTTCCAGAACCTCCATGTTCCGCTGGATCATGAAGTCAATGATAGGCTCACTAGGCGTGCCGACTGTAATATAGCACATCAGAGCCAAGTTCTTAACCAAACCACAAGCCTGACCTTCCGGAGTTTCCGCAGGACAAACCAAACCCCAGTGAGTATTGTGAAGCTGACGAGGTTTGGCGATCTTTCCATCACGGCCGATTGGCGTGTTGGTTCGCCGAAGATGCGATAGCGTAGAGGCATAAGTGTAGCGGTTAAGCACCTGAGAAACACCGGCCTTTGAACTTGCTGCCTTTTTCTGCTCACCCCAATTTCCGGTAGCAAGAGCGTATTTTAGACCGCCAGTCAAAGTGCTGGCCTTGACGCCAATGTTCAAATAAAGTTGGCGATTTGTCTCGACGCATCTCTGGACGTATTTGTAGAGATCCTTTGTAAGTCTCATAAAAAGGACCCGGAAAAGGTTGGCAAGTAATGGTCCGGCTAGATCAAGCCGCTTTTTGCCAAAGTGGTCACGATCATCCACATCCCGTCGGCCAAGGGCACACTGTAGTAATTTGTGTACCATGTAACCTAGGAAGAAGGCCTTTCGTGTCTCGCTTCCTTCACTTTGGGAAATATGAGGCAGGAATTCTTTCTGGATGATATCTCTTGCGTATCTCACACGCTTCTCATGGTTCATGCTCGTGGGAGAAGAGCCTCGCTTACTAATGAAGTCGAGAGCAACCTCACGGTCCTGAATAACAAAACCTTCTTCAATACAAGGCTTTAGCATTTCTAGCATAGGGGTATCGTTGCGGTCATAGCAAATATGATTGAGAATATCTTCATCGGAAACGACGCCTAGGGCTCTAAAGACGACGACGATAGGAATGTCGGTTTTTATGTAGGGCAGCGTGGAACGGATAGTAGGACCAAAGCCTCCCTTCGAACTATCACCCTTCGCGAAAAGCTTGATAGATAATTGGGAGAGGATACGGGAGCCTTTTTCGACAGCACTTCGAATTTCCGCGACGTAGGGAGTAGGGCTTGGAGGAGCTTTCTTGAAGACCTGTACGATATTTCCAGCACTTCGCTCTTGAGCAATAAGGACTTTTTCACTGCCGTTGATGATGAAGTAACCGCCAGAGTCGTAGGGGCATTCGTTCCAGTTGTACAGCGCATGCTCGCCAAGGTCTTTGAGAATACAGTATTTAGACTTCAACATAATCGGCATCTTTCCAATGAAAATATTCTCCTCATCAGCTTCATCTTCAGGAAGCGCCTTGGGCTCCCATTGTAGATATGTCCCTCTAGCCCGTCTCTCCTCGTCGCCTTTCGCGTCGGGTTCATCGTCATCTTCGTCGCGTTCGGCCAGCGATCGTTCTCGGCCCTCTGCAATTTTCTTTGTGATTCCAAGATAAAGAGGGCTAGCGTATGTCAAATTCCGAAGGCGCGCTTCTTGAGGCAACATGATACTTGTCGCTCCATCACCCTCTGTCATCGACGGCCGCGCAAGCATCACGGTACCGAACTTGAGCTCGTAACGTCGCACCATAACCGGATCTGGATCGTCTTCATCGGGGGCTATTGTCTGGTCAAGTGTTACCTGTCCCTGCTCCTCCACAAGTTCCTGCATCGTCGTTGAAATGAATTCATCGAAAGAATCGAGCTGCTGGGAGACGAGACCCTTCGATTCGAAGAAGGAAGAGATGACGGTCCAGCAGTCCTCGGAAGTGATTCCTTCCTCAGCCTCGTAGTAGCCATCTTCGCCATATTCGTCCTCGTATTCTTGCATGTTGACTGTCTCGATCGAAGGGCGCGCGGATCTGTTTTCTCACTTGTCCGACCTCAAGAGCTCGAAGTTCCGCATGGAACAAGCTCAGCAACCCACCATCCAAGGAAACGAAATGATGGAAAATAAAAACGAAAAATACGTGAATCTTAAAAGTGAAGGAAAAGTGGAAAGCTCTACGTGCCTCGTTCAATGCTGTTGCATGCGAGGGCGAGTTGTCGAGATTCACGGTCCTGAGCTGCTCAGCGCGCATTCATGAAAGATCCTCCTTCGCCGCCACAGAAGGTACCGCTTTGGGTTTAGAGAAATGCCAAGAAAGGCTAAATCTGCCCGGGCCCGACAGCCAATCACGTGATATAAAATTGATGCGTCCAGCTTGGAAAGTATCTACATGCATAAATTAACAGACGCCTGGTGAAGAAATTAAAGAAATTATATAAATTCCAAGAGAGTCGTAAGCATGTCCTTTTCTTCTTCCTCTCCTTCTGGGCCTTCTAAGCCGCTCAATTGTTCTATGAACCCGTAGTTAGCATTTTGAGTCGAAAGAAAACCAAGGAGAAGTACCAACCTTCAAGGGTGGCTCGAATTATACTTAGATCTTGGTCTTGGTCTGATAAGAGTGACTTTATCCTCGCCTTCGCGCCATCATCTTCAGCTACAAGCCAAGCAAGGATGACATCGATGATCTAAATGCGTTAGCAAATGTAAAAGCAGGAGGCGCCAGAATTCGTACCTGTAACGAAAAGAGTCCGACATCCAATCTTCGAGAGAGCCATTCAACTGCCATTGCGTCTTGCTCATCCTTGCTCAAATTCGCCCTTTCTTGGGCAATGGCTTGGTCGATTGGTAACAGTTTCGATGCGTACCCTCGTCGGAACTGCACCAGTCGGCTGACCTTCTCGTAGTCCTTCTCTACGAACTTTGCTAGGGTTCGAATGCGTCCTGCAGATTCACCGGGGAGCAGGCGTAAGAGCGACGCAAATATTCCAAGGAGATGCTCGACAGTTTGATTATCTTGCTATACACGAGTTAGAAACGTAGTGGCTCACATACTGGAGAGGCGGGTTGGTATACCTTTTTCATAAACATGCCGAATACAGTTCTTAATAATCCTGCTTCAACAAGTTGTTCGCATACACGCGCTCCGTCTTTTCCGCCAACGGCATGGTTAAGCACCCGTAAAGCCCTAGGCTTACTCATTTTGCCTTCTCGGAGCATAATCTGTGCAAGCTCGACGCCTTCGGCTTCAACGAATTTCTCCTTCCCCAGGGCCCCGTCAACGACGCAAGTAAGGCTGTCAAAGAGATTTTCAACATATTCTTCCTCATCGGAGTCCTTTTCGGGATCTCGTTTTCTGTATACACTGAGCAGCTGTAATAATGTGTCCACCCCGTTCAGGCCAGCAAATCTCTCGCGATTTTTTTGGGATGACTGTAATAAAATCGCAAGAACCTCCGCCGCATACTGTTTATTTTGTGTAACTGATTTTTCTCCCTTCTGTATTCGTGCATAAAGCCAAGGCATGATCTCTGACTCTTGCCCGATTTTCTCTGCTACGGATGACTGCGAAGATAGATTCTCCAGGACATCTGTCTAACGTCAGTAGGGTAGCAAAACTATTTGATAATATGAGAAAAGGCGTACTTAATATATGATACACTCCAGCCCGGTCACTTTCAATATCCTCGTCCAGTCGGGAAAGGTTTTGGGCTAAAAGCTCAATGAGGTCTGCATCTAGCTTCAGGACGTAAGTATTAATCAATAACGAGGATGAACACCGGACTTACCATGGCATCCACTAAAGATTCCCACTGTTCCGATTCCGCTTCCACATCCTCATCTGTCAATTCTGCGAGAATTTCGATGACATCAATAGCAATATCCGTGTTTTCGTGAGCCAACAGCGAAACTAGGGAACCAACGCAACCAAGTTCGGCGAATTCTGGGTACAGTTGCGGATGCTCAGATAGAATTGACAACCCCTTGATGTCAACATCTAAGTCTGCCTCTGATGCCATAAACCTAACATAAGGATTCTTATGAGACAAGCGCTGCGGAATAGGAGCATAGTGAGAGCATACTTCTGCGGATCCGACTCATATTTAGCTCTTAGCTCTGCATTCTTGGAAATACGCTTTTCAAAATTGAGGGCGGTACGTTTTAGCCATGCAGAATCAATCTTTCCTGCCTATGAGTCCAGCCGTCAGCGTTTTCGTCAAAACATGCAAGTGTAACCGCGAGTGAGGCGAACTAACCGTTACGCCCTCTTTTTCCTGCTGCTCTATGAAATCTAGTGCATTGGTTGTATCCCGTGTCACTCCGCCCCCAAAGAATCGGCCTTCCTCATCATCTGGAATATCTTCTTGTCCGAAATCTGGTGGAAGTTCAGGACCGGCGATATCTTCGTCTTCCGCATCGTCTACCGTCGCAGCGCGACTCCCGCTTGCGGCACCGTTGGTGTCGAGTTTAGCAGATTTATAAATTTCGTCTGGAAGGGGGTTAGCCTCCAACAAATTTAATTCGGAAACGGTAGCTCATACTGGGATCCCTGACTGGTTCAAACTTGCGCTTCTGCCCTGAGGGTAGCGAGGGTTTCTATAAACTGATCAATGCGACTGGCCTGGGAAACGAATCTCTCAAGAAGGCGACGCAAACGCACCTTAAAAAGCTCGTCTATGCTGGTCATGTTTTCTGAAACTGTGTATAGAGAGTGCTTGAGATTCAGAGATCCGCAGCTTTTGCCTGGCAATTGGAGCTCGAAGGCGAGAAGCTGCTTTCCTGTCGACGTGCTGGCGACATTGTGCTGTAGCTCCTTATGGCTTGACGTAGTTGTGCCGCAGACCGATCTGCGGTCACTGATTGGCCAAGAGGACAGAATACGGGAGGTCTGGATTGCCAAAAGCGCAAGTAGGAAAAACCAGCTCGAAAACCGCATTAACTTCTTCATCCGCGCTCAGATCTTTCTTTCGGCCTCTACCCGACTTTTTCGAATATCCAACAGTTATCCCCTCCGCAAGCCTACGGAAATAAATCGCTTTCGACCCGATTAACCGAGACAATTTGCTCTTTTTGCCCATCATGCCTCCAAAGCAGCGTGTCGTCGTCCAGTCCTCCTCCCGCCGAATCCAGGATAAACGGGGTTACCTTTCCACCGCATACCATGAGCTCACTTCTTCCGAGAACGCTTCTGTAGTAAGAAGTGTTGTTGCATTCGGGGTAAGTTAAGCGTTTCCCGTTCTCAATTTGCATGTCTAGATGCGGTAGGACTGTATCAGTCAAAGCACGATATCTCCCTCTGTTTGGACTTACCTTCGCTGACAACCCCATTAACACAGGCCGCAGTTGCTTTCCTGCATAGCAGCTTTAGCGAATGGCTTCTCCCAACGTAAGTGTGAACCTCTAGTTCATTCTGTCCAGGGACGAATAGCGCCCTTAGCCCCTCCCAAGCGTTCTCCGTGTCCAGTCCTTCACCCCGAGCTGTCCTTCAATGCCTCCGGTAAGAATTTGTTGTAGCTGACTATGTGTTAGGCTGTAAATGCATCCTTTTATATCAACTATGCCGAACGCCGCTTCTCCCTCTGTTCGCAAACTTATAGCCCTATCCCCCCCGCCCGCACCGCAAATCTTCACGATAGAGAAGCACTTGAACTTGTACTATACACACTGAAATGAATGGTTATTGGACACGGAAATGCCTGTTTATGTTGCACTTTATACGGTGTCTCCCACATTGCCGAGCACCTGTCTTTGCAAAATCCGGTAGACGGATGGACAGTCATTGATATGGAAATATCAAAATTGGCGGGCATCGTGGAGCTTGTTTTTTTGCTCATATCGGCTACAAAGGCAGGAGTTCGGATCGTGCTTTAGCACTATTTCACATCAATACAGTTGATTTTTTTTTTTTTTTAACTTTCAATGATTTACAAAAAAGTGCAAGGACACGTCCGCCAAATGAATGCTGAGTCTTCTTGGTGACAGACTCCAACGGCCTCTAACAATCCGACACGGATTGCAAAATTGCTCGCCCCCTTTTCCTACCTCTTCGCTGCCTCCTTATTAATCCACTCACTCGCCTTGTCCTTCCATTCCTCATGCCATCGCGACAGAGCCGGTCGTCCCTCAATGATGTCTCCAATCGCCCATTCCATACGGGCTTTATCCAACGCCTCGCTAACGTCCTCATCCGGACAAACAATGTAGAATTTCCCCTGATTCATTTTCTCATACATATACCTCGCAACCTGGCTTGGAATCCACGCCCCCTTGGGCTTTAGCGCCAACGCCTGGTCGTCATGAATTGGGCCTTCGCTGCCCGTGAGACCAGTGAATGTCCAGCCAGGAATCAGCAGGTGGACGTGGACATTCTTGGTAGCGCTGTTGGAGTGCATGTCGTGAGCGAGGAACTCGGCGATTGACTTCAAGGCAGATTTGCTAGCGTTGTATGCTGGGTTATTTGCACCGGGAGGGTTGGTTATGCCTTGCTTTGATCCGGTGATGACGATCGCTTTGGGTCCTTGGGCAGCGGCCTCGCTGATCATGGGCAGGAAGGTGTATATTCCGTTAAGGACACCCGTGAAGTTTGTGGCGAAGGTCTAAAAATGTACGACCATTTTATTTTTTTTGGTCTGTGTTAACGTCTTCGAAACAATCGCGCTATATTCAATCAACAAGCAATGGAATGCATCCCCCAAGAAAACCCTCGTTCCAACAGGAGAAAAGGCGAAGGAGGGCTCTAAGAAGGGGATAAATGTGAATGCTCTACCTGCCCACCTTTTGAAAGTACTCTATATCCCCCCATGGATTCTTCGAATCCTCTGGCTTAAAAGTCGCTCCGGCATTCAGCATCAGCAGATCGATCCCAGCGGGGAAATGGTTGACGAGCTTGTCCCGTAGATACTCCCACGACGACACGTCCGAGACGTCCATGACATGCGTGATCGTCTTGGCATTCTCGGTGTTTCCGAGGAGGGTGTGCACCTTGGCCAGATTGTCAGCGTGGATGTCGACCAGGATCAGATTCATGTCGTGGGAGCGGCAAAGCTGGGCGACGGCGAAGCCGATTCCACTGCCTCCGCCAGTTATGAGAGCTGTGGCACCGGGGCGGAAGACGGTGGCGGCCATGGTGTGACGTAGGAGTGAACTTATATTGGGAATTGATGATGATTTAGGATAGATGATTGTACCTTTGGTTGTATTGCTGTCCGGGAGGAATCGAGGGTGAGCGGAGGGTTCTTGTCTTATACTCGGAGTGAGGAATGAGTACTATGACGCAACATAACCTACAATCGCAACCTTAAAAAGCTGTGTACTCTGCCACTTCACTTAGAATACGCCTTTTCATCCAGTTCGCTCGACATATATCGGACGCGAGTACTCCGTACTTTGTAGTAAATGGGTATGGGAGCTGTGTTGTGCAGTACTTATAAAACCTCTCTAAATTCCCAGAAATGCATCAATGAGATCCGATAGTATATGCCCTCCAAAGTTTCCCTTGGCCCTATAGCCCCAAACAACGCCATATTTTTAAAAACTGCAAGGTACCACGCTGAGCACGGAACAATTGCAAAGAAAGCAAGTCATATAATACAGGGTATATATATATAAATTCGTTATATCTTTTCAAATGAAAAACCCACCGGATCCCTTCGCGGCTTCCTCTGAAGGCCTTTTCACAAGTTTCACAAAGTCCACATCTAAAAAGACGTTATATAAATTGGCCTGCTGGATTTTCACATCCACCACATCACCGGCTTGCAGCGGCGGCATCTTCGGGTCCATCGAGATGCAGCACCGTAGCCGGAAAGGAAGCAGAGAACCCATATATTGCACCTTCGAATCTTTAACTTTGGACACCTTGCCTTCAAGTAGCTGAGTGACGATCTGGCATTGAAAGGTTTCGGGTAGTTTCGCCTGTCCGTAATTAAATGCCCGGAAAAGAAGTTGCATGGCCCAGAAATCCCGGGACATTGACTGAGCACGGTCTTTGAGACGGTTCTGCCAGGTAGACCGGGAGATAATAGCGTTGACCTTTTCGAGGGAGAAAGGTAGGGTGACGTCTTTTCTTTCCAATGCTGGCCGTTTCCGCTCTGCCTCACGGCGGAGACCTGCTTCTATCTGCCAGTGGCAAAGGAGATCTGAAAATCGTCGGAGGGGACTTGTGCATTTCGCGTACTGCTCCATTCCCAGAGCTGTGTGAGGCACGGGTACTGGCGATAAGTACCCTTTAAAACGAGCCATACTTGTCGATGTCGATTCGCCCCCAAGGATCCCACGAAGAACGGTCTCCTCAGGGCGTTGCGTCACGCCACTGAAGATGAGCGGAATGTCTCTTTCCTTGCACCATTTAGCGGCCACTTCACCACCCAGGACCATAGCATGCGAGACGAGGTCTTGTTTCGTAGACTCCAAGATTTCAAGAGGATCTAGCATCGGGCCACTGATGTGGATGATAGGGTCTCCGGTATATTGAAGGGCTTCGTTGCCATCCACCACCAAGGACTTGATCCTGCCGTTACCTCCAGAAACAAAAGGCTGTGATCTTTGCGAGGAGGCAGAATTCATGGCACCCTTTTGCACCCTGACATCCCAATGTGCGCTGAGCAATTTCTGTAATGTCAGTAGAGATTGCGCATGCTCTTCAGATAGGTAGTCCTGGAGTTCTGGTCGGCTAGGCATTTTGGCTTCACCTCCCACTTGCAATGTCATGCGTGGAGCCTGGAGGCGATCGACGCCATAAAGCTGTGCAAGCCGGTCGGGGGTAATGTACACAACATTCCTGATGTAACCATTGACGATTTTCTCCTCTAGTATCTCCCCTTGCGTGTTGAGTTTTGCGCTAAAGGTCAGGACGGGTTTATCCGGCCCAAGACTGAAGTGCTTCTGCGTTACGCTCTGCGGAAGCATGGGATATAGCCTTTCCGGGGAGTAGAATGACCTTTTGAAGTACTTGGCGCCTTTAGCCAGTATGTGATTGGGTGGTATAAATGCAGACGGATTTGCGACATGGATATGCACCCAGTGTTCACCATTAGAGCCTTCCACGGGCTCGACGGAGAAGCCGTCATCGACTTCGGAGGTGCTTTGACTATCGACGCAGAAAACCGGGAGATCGCCCCAATCCTTTCGCAGGTCTTTCATGTAATCGACGAAGGTGTCAGGAGTGATAGATTCACAAAAGTCGTTGCATTTTTTTGCTAGTCGGTCGGAGGCGGGTGAGGTTCCATGACCCGGTAAGGCGACCAATTCACTCAACACATGCATGTTTTCCCAAGGAGCCACAACTCCAATCTCTTGAAGGAGCAGGTAGCCCGTCTGTGGAGTCATGGGGTAGCCATCGTACATTTCAATACTTCGAATAATCATCGACCCTATCGTTTTCAGGACAGAAGTGGTCATCAGCGAAGGCGGGGTAACCCATAGTCGCAAAAACTTCAGGATCATTTGATCATTCTCGGTGAACTTTTCGACAGGGAGGGTGTCGTAGGCCATATCGCCAACCTTCCCATCCACGGGAGAGCCCTGGACGGTTGGACTGACAGCAAATGAGAGAGTGGGGTTGCGTAACTTCCGGCTCCGGTAGATCAGTTTTCTCGCCTTTTGAACAAACTGGTGCATCGGAGAAGAACTCAAAGATCCCTTGCCCCAGCCTAGGGCCTCCCTCGCTTGACTGTCTTGATACCGGCGAACCCAGTCCACCACCGTCTGCACTACCTTCGCTTGTGGTTTCGGTCGAATAGTGTAAGATTCCGTTGTAGAATGAGTCTGATTGGCAACAACGTAGAAGGCCTGTCGTTTTAGTCCCTTGTGGATTGCATATCGCTCGGCCTCCGTTAAAGTGCCAGGCGTACGCCCAAATACTTCTTGGCCGATCTCATCCAGCGTCAGCAACCTGAACTCTTCTTCGTCTGCCACAAGGTCGTATACATTGTCCAACAAGCTCGAGTTTTGGGCATAAAATTTCCGTGCGGCCTTCTCAAACGACTCCATCCACTCAAGCAGGGCCCGTCCTGCTGGTCTAGGTACCCCACCTTCCAGGCCTAATTGCGGCAAAAAGGATTTTTCGACGGTCGATGTCGGGAAATAAGGCAAGATCGACGTGATCATTTCCTCGGGTACACGCACTCCTAAAGCAAAACTCATCTCGTTAGGGTGAGCCACGCGCCATTTCCCCCGATCCGTGTAAAACTGCTGCTGATCGTTAACCGTGCGAACGTAGACGGCCAATTGGCCTGTACTAAAACCAGTCTCTCTGCGTCTCGTTAGCGCTTCAACCACCTAGAAAGAGAGAGGGGGGTAGGGGGTGTGGGTGAGAGCCACGGTCTTACTGTTCGAGTAGAACCAGATGTCCAGGCCATAGGTAGGGGAAATGCCCATCCTCAGAAGAGGGATCTTGGTATGCATCCATGTCAAACTCCTTTGTGCGTTCCCCGTTGACCATAGGCTCATCCCTCAGCATGTTTCCAACCCATTTGTTCTGCGGTTCGCCGGATAGACTTTGCGGATTCTGGATGGGGTCAATGTTAAGCTCTGGCGACGGAGGTTTCCAGTTTCGAAGATAGGTCAAAATGTCTTCTTTCCGAGTCAGCTCTGAGTGGAATAGGTTTGCCGACTTTTCGTCGGTCAGTACACCAGGGGACGCGGAAGGATTCTAACGAAAGATTAGACTGGATTTTCAGAAGTAAGAGGGTATAAGAGAATACTAGGCGGATAACATACGGGTTGTCCGGCGTGAAATTCTCTCCTCTGTCGGAGGATTCTATGCCGCGCCTCTGAGTTCTTGACATGGCTGGATAATGCCGTCGAACGAAGCCGGCGTGCCGAGGCCGCATATCGTGAGCAGAAGTAGATTTCTGGAAACTGACTCCTCCGCACGGCGGTGCGAGTTGCCTGCAGCCATGATGCGGAAGAGATCATTGCTAGAATGGGTGGTTGGGAAGCATGGAACCTGAGTCGAATCTCCAACGGCTTCCTCGGCGGAAGAAGCAACCTTCGCAGCAGCTTCAGGTCCTCGAAATGACAAAAATTTAAAGTTGGTTATCTCAAAGTTTATCGGAGTGCTTACTAACTACGTTTGCGCGCAGACAACACCGGCCGTAAGCCAAACGACAGCCTTCAGGGGGCAAATCCGTTGGCATTTTCGCGGGCGCCAGAAGCCAAAAACACACGACGGCCAACGCGATCAAGCCTCAAGGTTTGGAGGGCGCTGAACATCGTTTTACCTACGAGAGGGAGTTGTTATATTGAATCACAGGCTGCTAATGCAATTACATTTATGGAATTCTTGTTTGACAGCAGATGGCAGGGATCGGGCGTCACCTCCTTGAAGCTACAAGCCGCCACTCCGGCGCCACCTTCATTGTTCGTTTCTTCCTTTGGGACTTTGAGAACTTGAAGAAACGTATCCACGCCCCAAAAAATTCTGGCTGAGAAGTTCCACCCCCTCACCCCCGGCCTGTCTCCAAAACTAGCTCAGTGAATGGACCTGTGCGGCTGCACCACAATCATGTTCTTCGGGCCGACAAAGCCGATTCTCCTCTGAATATCTATGGGTTAACACCCTGCCACTGACCATCAGATTCTAACCAAGTGGCGTTAAATCGCCCCTGGTTACAGGCTAGTTCGGCATTTCACATTCTTGACACGTACAGGGAGGGATTTCGCTCAGAGGCTCCTGGCAATCCCAGCAACGGGGCCAATTTTTTGCGGGCACTATAGCACTTCTAGACTTTGTAGTTGTCGACTTTCGCTGAGGCTTTCGGACCTTCGATGGTTGCTTCGGGCCGTGAGAGGAACTGGTAGAGTTAGATGTCTTGGATTTGCCTTTGCCTTTGCCTTTGTGATTTGTAGAGGAAGCTGTTTCTGTCAAAGAGCGAGATTCGACTGCGGTTCCTTTGCCTCCGCTGTCTGTAGAGGAAGCTGCTTGTGTCGAAGAGCGACATTCCACTAAAGCGCCTTTGCCCTTGCTTGAGCTCTCTGAATTGAGGGCCATATTTTTGACGTGTCAAGAACGTGTAAAAGAATGCAATTGCTTCAGAAAATATATGATGCGAAACGCTCCGTAACGCCGTCCTCGACAAGGGCAGTAAAAGTGTTGACTAAAATGAGGGGATAATGTAGCACCTAGCTATCCGCATCTTGCATGGATGTAGGGTATTGTACTGGTATATATACATATGTACCTGGGAAGAGGGCATTGTTGAGGTCTGTGGGAGTGACTTTGGGTTCACTGGAGCCAGGGAGGGTCAGGTATAGTGACTGCTGCTCTTGGCTGGGTGCTAGATAGCTTGCTGAGGCAATCCATCGAGATGCAGAATCAGTCCGGAGGGCAAATTCACCTGTCCAGCAGGGCAATAACAGGTAGAGAGTCTCTGTATGGCTGGGACGTGCCGACCACAAAAGTGCAATGTATTTATCAAGCTCATTGGTGTTGGCAAGGGCCATGCTTTTCTCAGGGAACCATACTCAAGATAGGCGGTTTTTAAGGCTTATTCACCTTGGTATAAGGGATATCTGTATAGGTTGGGTGGCAACTTGGGCGACAATGCGGGATATTGCCCTGCTATGGTGAAGGCCTGAGCAAAGAGGACGTTTGGCAGATTCAGGTGTAGTTAAAGTCCATTTTGAAGGGGAGAGTTACAGACGGCTGTAAAACTAAGCATTGCAGATGAAGACTCTACAAGTTTGAGAATTCGAACTTCAATTCTTTGATGTCCGCTCTGTACATATCCACTGTGCGCTGGAGGAGGAATTTTCCTGTTGTCTTGTATCGCGTCCGCCTTTCTCCTTGGCCGCAAGTCGGCGCAGAGCTTGGGAGCGGTGCGGAACGGCCATTGGCCCGATGGACAACCGCAAGCAAGCTCCAGCCTTGGCCGAAACCTTCTCCTCGCTACTGAATTGCCGAGCTTCCAGGTTCGTCGGAGCCCCATCGCCCACAGCCTAGGCAGCCAAGCAAAAAGCGCACGCGGAAAAACACAAAAGTGGTTTTGGGAGCATTTGAAAAACCTCTCCTTTTTTTTTTTTTTGGACCAAAAAAAAAAAAAATAATAAAATAAAATAAAATAAAAATTGGCAAGCAGTAGCTTTTCCGGGGGGCCCAGGGGCAGCGCCTGCCTCCCCAGGCAGTCTTCTCCCTCCCAAGTAGGCAACTAACTCCTAGGTACCTACCTGATCAAGCCGAGGAACAAAACTCGCCGTAGTAGGAAAGAGTCGCGCCTTTTACCTTGTGCAGGAAGGAACGAAGGCGCTGTTATTTACGTAGTTTAGGTATGTACGCGCGAAGACGCAGCGAAGAGTGGAGTAATTGCTTTTTTTTTGGGGGGGGAAGGAAACCCCTTCGTGTTGGATTGTTTTGGTCTGGGGAAGGGGCGACCCCTAACCCCAACAAAGTACCGCCTTAGCGTGAGTTTAGCTGGCTGGTGACCTTGCAGCTCTGCTGGGGGCCTTGGCTGGTCTGGTTTGGTTTGGTTAGATTTGCCCACCCGCCGGCCTTCGCTCTCCTCCGCAAAAGCCCTTGTGCTCCTCTTCCTCCTCTTTTTTTCCCCTTCCCGCAACCATCTCTTCTTCTTCTTCTTCTTCTCCTCCTCCTTCTCTCATCGCCCTTCTCTGTCTTCCCCCCGCGATCGACCCTTGGTTGCCTTCTCCTCCTCTCTGCAACCCCAGCGACCACTCACCTTCCAACGAACCCGCCCGTGCTAGAAGCTGTCGCCAAGATGGCGAAGAAGGACGTTGTCTTGTATCCTCGCATTTCGAAGAAGCCTCCGTTCACCGTTGAAGCCCCCGGCTTCGAACCTGTCAAGGGAGAGACCATTCCTCGTAGACATCCCGCTGCCAAAGATGGATTGATCACTTCCCCCGACCCGGAGATCACCACAGTATACGATAATCTCAGGTGGAGTGTCAAAAAGTACGGCAACAAGAAGGCCATTGGATCCCGACGTCTCATCCGAACCCATGTCGAGACCAAAAAGGTCAAGAAGCTCATCGAGGGAGTCGAGCAGGAAGTCGACAAGGAATGGACTTTTTTCGAGCTCAGCGGCTACACCTTCATGACCTTTAACGAGTATGAGACTCTTGCGCTGCAGCTAGGAGCCGGTCTGCGAAAGATTGGCCATGAGAAAGACAGCCGCATTCATCTGTTCAGCGCTACAAGGTGAGATTTATTGTTCGCCCATCTATTCTACGCCCTTGAGTGCGCGAGTTTTTCCTCTAACCATAAAATCTATCTAGCGCCCATTGGCTGGCCCTGTCTCATGGTAGGTTACTCAGTTCAGCAGCGCGTGTTGAAAATGTATATATCTCTGACTCTTGCAGGTGCTGGATCCCAGTCTATCACAATCGTTACAGCCTACGACTCCTTAGGTGAAGAGGGTGTCAAGCATTCCCTCCTCCAAACCCACAGTTCCACCATCTTCCTCGACCCCAGCCTCCTTCCTGTGCTCATGAAGGTACTGGAAGATGCAAAGGACCTGAAGAATGTGATTTATGATTCCGCTTCCGAGGTGAAGCAGGACAACCTCGACAAGCTTAAGTCTGAATTCAGCCACCTCAACGTCATGTCCTTTGAAGAATTGCGAAAGCTTGGAGAAGAGAATCCGGTAGATCCTGTGCCTCCTTCTCCAGAGGACCTTTGCTGCATTATGTACACTTCTGGATCAACTGGACCTCCTAAGGGTGTCTCTCTTAAGCACAAGAATGTGGTGGCAGCTAGTATGTTATGACCCGGTCATCGTCCCCATCGCCCAGCAATGCTAACCTCAAACTTAGTGGCCGGTGCCAATACTGTTGTTGGTGAACACCTTGGCCCCAGCGACGTCCTCCTCACATACCTTCCACAGGCTCATATTCTGGAGTTCGTCTTTGAAAACATTTGCTTGTACTGGGGCGGTACCATGGGCTATGGCAGCCCCAAGACGCTCTCGGACACCTCTATGCGGAACTGCAAAGGTGATATTAAGGAGCTGAGACCAACTATTCTTGTTGGTGTGCCCATGGTTTGGGAAACCGTCAAGAAGGGCATTCTCGGCAACGTCAATAAGAGTAGCGCGATCGTCAAGGGACTTTTCTGGGGAGGTCTTGCCGCTAAGTCGTTCTTAATGTCCACAGGTCTTCCTGGAGCTGGCGTGCTGGACGCCATCGTCTTCAAGAAATTGAAGGAGGCTACCGGTGGTCGCCTCCGAATTATGCTCAGCGGTGGAGGCCCAATCTCCAAGGAAACGCAACATTTCCTTTCCATGGCTATTTGTCCTATGATCAACGGATACGGTTTGACGGAAACCGCTGCTATGGGTGGGTTGAACGATCCTATGACATGGAACCCTGACGCAATTGGCGAAGTTCCTGCTTCGGTGGAAATGAAGCTAGTCGATTTTGCCGAAGCCGGTTACTTTACCAACAGCAACCCCCCGCAGGGTGAGATCTGGATTCGTGGAGGCAGTGTTGCTGAAGGTTACTTCGACAACGAGGAAGAGACAAAGGCCGCTTTCACGGATGACGGCTGGTTTATGACTGGAGATATCGGTGAGTTCGATAAATACGGCCACATTAAAGTTATCGACCGCAAGAAGAACCTTGTCAAGTCGTTGAATGGGGAATACATCGCCCTTGAGAAACTGGAGTCTATCTATCGTTCTGCGCATGTTGTTGCAAACATTTGCATCTATGCCGCTCCAGACCAGTCCAAGCCGGTCGCTATCATCGTTCCTGCGGAGCCTGCCCTTCACCAGTTGGCTCAGCAGAATGGAATCAAGGGAGATAGTATTGGCACATTGGTGCATGACTCTAAGCTCAACTCTATTATCCTGAGAGAAATGCAACAAGCCGGCAGAGCTGGTGGTCTTCGGCCGTTTGAGATAATCGAGGGCGTTGTGCTTTCTGATGAGGAATGGACTCCCCAGAACGTAAGTTTAGAAAATATCCGTTGTTGTTTGGAAATTTATTTGTTTTGTTGACTTGAAGTCCCTAGGGTTTCACTACTGCTGCCCAGAAGCTCCAACGCAAAAAGATCATCACCAAATTCCAAAAGGAAATCGATCGAGCTTACGGCAAATCTTAAGGACCAGGCGACCGAGTCCAGCCTTTTGATTGATGTTGAATCTCCGAAGGCAGATCTTCCGATGCTCTTTACCCAAGCTGGTACCCTATGTCTTCAAATAACGCCCTTGTTTGCTTTTCAGTTGAACGATATCTTGATTGCCAATAGTTAATACCTGGTTTCTTTTATTATCTGATTTCTGTACCGCTTTTGGGCTGCGTTCTTCGTGAATTTCTGCTATCATGGCTTTACGAATAGCTGCGGTATTGTAAATTACGGCTATTGATACCTCGAGACTCTATGTCAGAATGTTAGTGATTGGTATTTTTTTTTTTTTTTTTTTTTTTTTTTGTTTTTCACATAATTGAGTGTGTAGTATGAAAGTCAAGAAGAAGTGAATATAACACACATCATCATGGATTCGTGAGTGCATTGGCAACAGGAATGACACAGAAAGATCATCCGTTCTATTCTAAGTCATGTTTCAACCGAATCCATGTCTAGTCTTCATTGGTATCTCTACGCTATGGTAGGAAAAAAAAGATTGACATATAAGTAGAAATATATGAAGAGGTGGGCATTCTTTTTCTGCTAGAAATGAGCTTTAAAATTCCAGCATATCCGGAGCAGACAACTTAGGAGTGAAAGAACTGCTCACAGTAGAATATGTCTGCTTGAGGACAACAATCATTTATACCGGCCGCTGGATGAGTTTTCCCTCCATGCTGAGCCTGACAAAGTGGAGGTCGAGCTCGGTCGCTGATTCTGTTTATTGCACCGCTTGAAGTGTTCTCTCGATGGTGAGGGGCAGGACGCAAACTCGGACCTGGCCGCTAGTTAGTTAAGAGCACATGATAGAATTCCGGAGAGCATTAATTTCTGGTGAATGTGGAACTGGTTCTGTAAACCACACTCCCTTTGCAATGATGACAATGTCGAAGAAACGACAAAAAACGAATATTTTCTTCTATGCTGAGTTTAATTTGGCTGAGCTTCTTGAACTGGCTCGACGATTGCGCGGTGTGACATGCTCGTGCGATTCCACGCAAAAACCATTCAGCGGAAGTTTTAATTGGGCTATCATCTTGACTTTTGCTGATGGTGTTGAATGGCTATTTCGAGCTCCTTGGACAAGTTATGGACTGGACGAGGAAACAGCAAGAGCTGTACTCGCTAGCGAAGCAGCCACTCTAAAATATATTCGGCAGAACAGCTCAGTACCTGTTCCAGTGGTTCATCATTACTGGTGTGTTGTGTTGCATTCCAAACATTGGTCAAACTAGCTGACGATTGTGAAGCGCTTCTAAAGAGAACAGCATTGGTGTTCCTTTTATACTCATGAGTCGGGCACCGGGCGTCCCTCTTTCTAACTATAGCTGGCGCCCCCAGCCATGTGAGCCGATTTCGTCTCAGGGCCGCCGATGTTTATTGAGAGTAAACGAAAAGCGGAAGATTATGCAGCAGCTTGGGGTCATAATGTCTCAATTATCACGGCTTCGTTTCAATAAGATTGGTTCGCTTTTTGAAGAAAAAGAGTGTTTCAAAGTGGGACCATGCCTTGCGCCTGGCTTACTCTTGCGTGACCGCCATACCTTGCAAGGAATCCCTCGAGGCCCTTTTAACACTGAGAGCGAGTATTACAAGGGACTACTTTCAGCTTACTTTGCGGATTTACGGGAATCGACGTTGGAACACCACGCTTTCTTCGCACCTGTTCCAGTTCCGACGGAGTATGATCGTTACTCCAGTTACCTAGCAGCAACTGATCGGTGGAATGATTTTGTTGCTTTGGACTCTAAGATTGAAAACAGCCAGAACAGATTAGACTATTTTGTGGCTGGATTGTTTCTTGAAAGCATGATACCAATCCTCGCCGGCTATCTGGAAGAAAGCAGCAGCGATCAACCCGATGGCTTTCCGCTATATCACCCCGACCTCAGCCTGAACAACATTTTCATTGACGAGCACCACAACATAACGTGTATTATTGACTGGGCGTTCTCATTTTCTGCGCCATCAACGATACTTCTCTCCACGCCAGGCTTACCTCACCCAAGAGACGAGTGGGAGCCTACAATGACATCCGCATTCAGATCCGGCTTCACTGGTAATGGCACTATGATATCCCCCAAGGTCTGGAAAAGAGCTAGGATACTTTGACTTTTTATACGCCTAGTTAACCTCGATGACTTACAGGACTATCATTATTTTGCAGAGCTTTATACATTGATTTACGATCGGCCTGCCGAGGAGCTGTTCACGAAATTTCAGCAGCAGTATGCAAAACATGAGGTTATCAACATGCAGCAAGCCCTTTCCGCCGATGATCAGTCACCAAGTGAAATCAAGCGAAATGAAAGAGCCTACTTTAATAATGTGGGTGTCGACCGGCATGCCTTGGCGGCAAAGCTTAGACTGGCCTCGGTGCTGAACAGATCTTTTGTTGCTGATAGACGACTTTGGCGTTGGATTGAAGAAGCGGTAAATTTGCGAGAGACCATGTAGAGAGTTCCCCGAGGATGAGATGGACAGGGAAGGCCTTGGCTAACCGGTCGTTGAGGACCGGTTTCGCAGCGGACACGAACGGTGCCTGTGGTTGGGCCATCGTTCTGCGTCAACGAAAATTCATCGTTTCAGGCAGCACGCAACTAGCCTCTTATTACCATGTTACCCAATGTCTCCTATTTACGTGCAGGGCAATTTATGCTATGGCGCAAGCAAATCAACGCCTGTACAGAGTCCTCTTAACCGATTCTCAGGCATCCTGGAACGCAAGTACAAGATGCAGCTTGACCGGCTTGAGAAACGCCAACCGCAAGTGGTGCCACCATGGTGGACTCCCCTTCCTGTCCGCATAAACGGATCGGCCGAAGATGCAATTAAGGAACACGACGCTATCGAATCGGCAACAATACGCATCTATACCGACGGAAGCGGCATCAACGACCACGTCGGGGCGGCCACAGTAGCACCTTCGCTCCGAGTTAGCAACATTGACACGAAGCGGACTCAGTACATGGGCAAATCCAGCACCTCTACCGTCTACGTGACAGAGCTCAAAGGCCTGGAGCTAGCGCTGGAAATGATGCTTGACGTGCACGCGGCCGGAACCCCTCCCCGTAGATGCGTCATCTTCACCGACAACCAGGCCGCCATCCAAGTAATTCGGAACCCCAAGCACTCATCGGGCCAGCATATCCTGGTTGAGGCCATACGAGCACTCGATAGGCTCCGAGAATATGGGTGGGAAGTGCAATTCCGTTGGATCCCGGCCCACGTCGGCGTGCCAGGGAATGAAGAGGCGGACCGACTGGCCGACCGAGCCGCCAATCCCACTCTAAACTCAGAGTCAACGGCTGAACAACCTCCCGAAGTGAACTCGTTACGAACCTTGATGGCGACCACGGAATCCATCATCCGGCAAAGTATGAAACGCGAATGGGAGACATCCTGGGAAAATGGGAAACACGGCAGAGATCTATTTCGACTCGGGTTCCGGCCCGCGAAAAGCAATTCTCGACACACCTAGGGGAACACACAGAGCAATTAGCTCGGTAATCACGCAGATGCGCACGGGCAAGATTGGCCTCCGGTCATACCTTCACTCAATTAACAAGGCGGAAACCGACAAGTGTCAATGTGGATACGGGCCCCAAACGGTGCGACACATCCTCTTGGAATGCCGCGACTGGGTGGAAGAACGACATCAAATGTGGGCAGGCAAGTCTCCATGCGCGGACTTCAAACACATTCTCTGTAGCTTGTCAATGGCGGTACAAGCAGCAAAGATGATGATCAGGACGGGCCTTCTGAGCCAATCCAGGGTGGTGGCATCCACAATACTCCAATATCCCTAGCATATGAGTGTATAAACTAGTAAACAGAAGCCGAGGATGGCCAGGAAAGGCTTGACAAGGCAGAGACACAGAACTGATAAGAAGACTATGGATAGAGGAAGCTCAAGTGGAAAGGAAGCAGTTCTTACAAGAACCCGGGTTTGACAGCTAGTGAGCCCTTGCAAGAATAGCAAAATTTCCAAGGATAAGAGCAAAACTCCTGTATTTACTTATATAGTCGAGCGCTGCATAGCGGCTGGGACGGTCTATGAATTAAAAAAAAAAAAAAAAAAAAAAAGAGAGAGACGCTTGAACCGGGGACGCTCGAAACGGAAGACGGGCGAACAACTAGGCCGAGCGAACAAGTAGGCCGGGTGTAGAGCTAGATGGACGGCATGTTTCCAGTTCCAGGGCGGACCCTAATGCTGATATCACACAGAAAGGCTATACTCCTGATGATGCAAAAGTTGCACCTGACACAGTCGGGCCCCAGCCTCCCAGCAAGCATCAACGTCGCGCGCAACGTCTTGGTCCCAACTCTTAGCCTTGCAAAGTTTGATCCTTTTCTCCCCCGCTTATGAAATGACATCTCTATCGGAAACTGAGCACGAGGTCGTTAAGAGCCATACCTTAGGCAAATCTCTTGATCATTTACTAGAGCCACTCCAGGATGCGGAGCGTTCATATTCCTTCATCAGTTCTCTTGACGGCACTGACGACACGCCTGAACAAGGTTACCAGAAGGCAGTATCTCTACTCCTCTCTGCTTTAATAGACACAGAAGCAGCTCTTGTTCTTCAGTCAAGGACCAGCAGTCACGATATAGCATCTGAGCTTTTCGCGCTCTCCGTACTTGTTCGAAAAGGTGACTTCAGCTACAACTACTACCGCCCGCTCGTGAAGCTTGTTATCCAAAGGAATCCAAAGGCATCCGACCACCACATCTGGAGCGCTATTCTCGATCTCATCAGCGCTGATTCAAGGACTACTCCTCCACCCCGCCCGATCTTGGCCCTCCAACAGACCCCGTGGCTGCAAAACACGAGCAGTTTCGCGAACTCAACGGAATACCGGAAGCACGTTGATGCCGCGTTGAAAGAGGAGCTCGGGGACCTCCATGCTGACATCCTTTTTTTGGGAATATCGCGGGTCTTGATGTGGCCGCACGTGCCGTCTTGGGTAAACTCTAGGAAGGAGGGAGCCCGCTATATGACGAACAGAGGGGATGGAAGGACTGGCCGGAGCATGCAATGGAAGAGGACGTGCTCAAGTGGTTGGCTGATGTCATTGGAGAGCTCGTGCGACTTGCAGAGGCACCTGGTTCTGCGTTGAAGATCAACCGACGGCCGCTCGCGCGGCCCACTCGGCCCCTGGACGGATCCATCGCGGCGCGGAAACTTGATATCGGCTTTGTCGACGACCTGGATGCCACCGAAGGCTCCAGATGCGGGTGGTCCCAGATTCTCATCCCAGGTGAGCTGAAAAACGACCAAAAATACGACGGCCCGTCAAGCGCGTGGCTTGATCTGGGAAGATACGCCCGGGAGGTCTAGCCGCCCAGGATTCACGTTTCGTTTTGGGGTGCACCCTCTGTGGGCCATTCCTGCGGCTGTGGGTGCTTGACCGGCTTGGAGGGATAGCGTCAGAAAGCTTTGATGTCAACAAAGAGGGTCTCCGCTTTGTTTCTGCGGTTCTCGGGTTTCTTCAGATGGACCACGAGTAGCTGGGATTTGATGCGACTATCATCACCCACGGAACAAAACGCTGCATCGAGATCAAGAAAGACGGCGCAAAAGAACGGCTGGTCGTTGGTCACCGCGAACATGAACACCACGGGGCTAGGGATCCTTGAGTGTTGGCTGTGGAACACACCCTTGCACCAGCAAGCCAGCCTTGCCTTCCTGGCAATTATGAATTTGGCGTGACACCCCCCAGCTCCCGTGCAATCACAAATATTTTCTATCACCACTACAACACCAAGAGTTCATGACAAGAGTTCATAACAAATATTGGTTATATACCTTGCACACTCAAGTCTTCTTTCTGCAAAGTTAATCTGTATGATTTGGTCTCTCCTAAACATTACCGGTCGAGCTCGACAGTAGAAGGGTAGCCCCGCAATGTATTTTCCCCTCAAGACGTCTGGACCTACACGGGCCGTCTTGCCCGCTTCTGCAGAGGCTGGCGTCCGGCTTGACCCGCGGCGCTCAAATGGGCCGATGTTCAAGATTAGGTGCAGGCGCAAACGCCGTGGCTCTTTTGTATTCACCGGCCAAGAAAGCTCAGTTAAGCAACGCATGAATTCTCTCCCAGGCCGATGTCAACCATCTGGTTGGCATTGGTTTATTCCAGCAATTAGCACATCTTGGCGAAGGTCTGATCGCTCAAGATGTCACCACTTTTGCCCAGCTACATGAAGCTAAAACAGGTAAAAACTGCTGAAGTATCACCATGATCGAGCCAGGGAGACATGAGGCGCGGTCGGCGATGCCGATCCGAGCGCCCTTCGTCGACCCAGGGTCAAATAAAAGAGGGGCACATTCCTCGATTTCGCGGCTGTACGTCGGGCTGGAGATTTATTTCAGCCTCTTCTTTGGTGATAATCTCACAAACTTTGCCTCCGCTTCTCGGTTCATCGAAGCTCCTTCAGCCTGTATGTTTTCGACAGAACCCGTGAATCAGTGATTTCGTCTAACTCGAGATGAAGAATTGTCTGAACAGTAGAATCGACGGCGACTCTCACTAGTTTACACAATAATTAACAAAGCAAGTTGCGAAGTAAGGCTTTCCAGAAATTAAGGGCGAGATAGAGTAATAATCTAAGGAACAGATACCACCGACAATGAATACCACCTCTGGTAGAAGCGGTTGGTGCAAGGCAGTCGAATGCCAGCATGCGAACAATGAGCACGCATACGAGACATGCAGGGGCCCGAATTGCCGAACGCAGTGGAAGCGCTGTCAAGTACGTCTTAATTGCAATGGAGTGCATTACAGGATCTGCAAGAGATGTCATTCCCACCCTGGCGGCAAGCCCGACTTTTGGGGAAGTTCCCCAGAACCGTCGGGCTAGCCGGCACCAGTTTCCATGCGCTTGGCGCCTTTGTCAAAGCTTGGGACCGGTGAGAGTGCCGTGGGTTGACCAAGCCACTCTTCAAGTCCTTTTAATCGTTCATCTGAAGCATGGCTCGCACTGTTTTCGTCATCCGACATGCCTGTCTCTTCGTCACTCTCATCTTCAAGTTGGAGCCACTCATCTCTGTATATTTTCTCAGGGGGTGTTCCTTCGCCGTTAATCATAACCCATCGAAATATATCAAGCGATGCTTCCCGAGACGCCTCTTGGGTGGGAGATCTTTGTGGGAACAATGTATCCAACATGTTAATAGCCGTGCTACTTTCGTCCGATCTGTGGCTAGATGTTTTGTCAAAACCTTGGCCTTCAACGATTGACCCATTCTCCAATATCCAATTCCAGTGTGCATACTCAAGATAGTGCCTTGGGCACTGTAAATGAGTGGCAACGCGCAGCACACATTGGCCGGCAGTGGTACTCCCGAACGGAGCCCACGGGGTGAACGGCGGATTGTTATAATATAATTCATCGTCGACAACAGGGGGCAGATACAGAAGACGCCACACATCGGCTCTTTGGACTTTATCAGATGACTTATTCGAAATATATGGCCCTGATCCTGGGAGATCCATAAAACTCTGTGGGCATCCTGTCCAAGGAAACGCATTTGGGTCAACGGGAGGTCTTCCCCTTTCGACTCGACGAAGAATAATCGGGGCCAAACCACTAGTAACAGCACCGAGCCAGAGGGTGAATATTCGCGGTTGACGGAAACTGCATATGACCGCGAGGATTTCGTAGTAGAATCCAGGAGTGGAAGAAAATTTTGGGCTTTTCGGAATTTCTTGGAAGATGGGGTGTAGCCACGGGCTCACCATATTGCATGTGACGGTGGGCTCCCAGAACATTCCGCAAAGAGCTGATATAACTGTTTCCGGGCTGCAGCTTAGCGTCATGTAGTAGGGAAGTTCGTTGTCCACAGTTAGCCAGCTCAGTGCAGTTGAATTGACGGAATCGACTCCCTGTTGGGTATGATTATTAGCAGGAAGAGGTAATGGAAGAGGTAATTGAATAGCCGTGCCATGGTAGTTATGCGCCGGAAAAGTCAATGCTGTAGCAAGAGCAACGGGCAGCTGGCTATCCAAATTATGTCGTTGGGAGAACTGCGCAAGGTTCTCGAACGCTTTTTTGGATGGCGGAGGACTGGAAGCAGCAAAGCCTTTGGAAACTGGCTCCTTCGATTCCCACCTGATTTCGATATCATGCATATCGTTTATTGAGACAGACCAAGGCGTCACAAACTCTTGATCCATCTGTCGAGAGATGATGGCTTTCCAACCTTGGCCGGGTGCCAAGATAGCGCACCACCATCTCGCTACGTCTTCATCTACCTTGCCGATATCGATGGTGACTGGCGAGGAACAATCATGACTCTTGCCCTGTCGAATCCTTGTGGGCTTCGAATCTGTATATGCCATTTCGGAGTTGTCCACTTGTAACTCCAACAGCCGAGCAGAGAGAATATATGACCAGCCTAGGGCTAGAATTCCCAGGTAACTTGGTGCTCGGTTTCCCTCGCCCGAAATACTAGGCCATTGACGAAAGCTCTCCCCGCTAAATCCACATGGGATGGGTGTGCGGCTGCCTATATGTAGTAGTCCGGGAATCTCTCTTTTTTTTCCAACAAGGCCACATTTTGCCGTGCCAGTAACGTGCCAGACAGATGATGTTTGAATGCAAAGTGTTTCGCTCGGGGATGAACCAAGATGCAATATCATGGTTTTTCCTTGTCTTGTGCTGATTGCGGGGACGCGGTTTAGGATATTTCGAAGGCTCGTTAAGGTAGGTGGAATTCCTGTGCGGTGCCGGCTAATTGCCATTGCAGTAAGATGATACCAGTAATCACGGGATCTTTCCGTTGCAATTTCCAGCTGTTGCGGAGTGGGTTGAAGCTGGTCATGATCGTTTATGATCTAGAGAATGTTAGTTACCATCAGAAAGGAAGATAGAGATGGTGAAGGCGGTATTACCGTGGAGAGGTCAGGCGGCTCTAATAGGCCATGCTCAACCAGCACCATGTCTGCTCGACGAAAATTAATTGACTTTCTTGAGTGGTGCCAATGATCGGAGGTCGAAGCGAAATATCTTGCAATAGCTGGATGCCAGTATATATTGTTACTTCCAGGCATGCAGGTTGATTTCGCGAGGATTTGATTCGGTTCTGTTGCGAGCGGGTGAGGAAGTGGTTACGTGAGCTCAATGCTGATCCCCGTCGTGGGCCTTGGCAGATCTTGGTGTTTCGAGCTCTGCTATCTTGGTTGCTTTAATTCTTTCTGAGTGGCATTCTGTTGATGACAATGCATTTCTCCTCCCATGACAAGCCTCTCGCCCTCGCCACCAATTTGGTCGTACACTGAAGAATTGGCTAATTTATTTCCAGCGGAGACTTACTGTGCGCACTCTCTAGAGCACTTGCGTCAAGCATGACGCCAACTTCAGATACTCATGCGGGATGCAGTGTGCTTCCTGTTCCCAGTTCTCTTCTCATTGTATATGCCTCGAAGGGGTTGGCCTAGAAAATTGTGAACCAAACCAGATAGGAATATGCTAATGAATTAGACGACGACATCGAAGGCTCTTCATTCTCGCAAAGTTAGACCTCTTGTCTGGCGTCAATAAGAATCTTGGGCTGAGCTCCCCAGTGCCATGCCATGCAAGAGATCTTCACACTATTCTCTTTTTGGTCTAGCATCTGCTTCCCCTTTCAGCCTAGCATCACACACAAAACATTGTGTATATATTGCACAAATGCTCGCCTACCATCTTTCTTCTTTCTTCCCCCAAGCAATATGTTCATGTATATAGAGCCTTAGCTAGTAACTTCAGCTTGACCCATGACATTTGGGGTTAAATTCTAGTCGCTAGTTAGTTGAGATACCTTAATTTAATCTTTTGCTCGCTTGGGAATTTCGCTCGCTTGTGGATTACATTATCTGAGTTTGTAACTAGTTAACTATGCTTTTCCCACACAAAATTGTTAGTCATGTGACCAGAGGGTTGCTTTTTATTTGGACAGATGGATCATTCTTAGATAGACGAGTCAGACCAGAATGAATAGATTTTTCGTCTCCCTACTAGATTAGATCTAGTTTGCCATTATGTGACAAATAGACCATTGCAACAACAGCCAGCGCGTGGTCTGTTCATAAAAACCGCAAAATGGTGATCTCAAGCCCACTAAAAACCAAGCCCAACATTGGTGAGCAACCGTCCCAGCAATACACACAGCCGGGAAAATTGTAATGAAGCATCCAGAAACAGGGTCTGAAGTTGGATAGTCTTTGATAGATAGTAGGTGCGTCACTTTGGTAAAGATGACGCTAGCTCCAGTCGGCAGCCGAATGGTCATTGCTGGTCTTATCAACATGCATATCGCCGACTCGGTGTCCGACCAGAGTCCCCAGTCGAGGCCGAAATAACCAGCCCATCGAATTATCAATGAAAGGGCTGGTTAAATGCAGACGCAAAAGCAGCTCCGAAGCGACCTCTGATATCTCTATGAGCTGAAAATTGCCTAGAAGGTTGAATTATCCATGTCATGGCTTTGATGTGAATCTTCCAAATATGAGACAGGTTTGAAAAGCGAGCTCCCGATGTATCCCGCTAGGATCGAAGAAACACGTTGATCGACATCGGGCTTTTTGTCTCGCCCTGACTTTGGATTTCAGCTGCTCCGTCTCCAAGAGCAGCGGAGGGCTTTTTCTCAACGTGCAGGCTTAACCAACTTATTATGACATTTGCGCTCCCTAGATATAGGCAGGGCTGTACGGAGAACCCCGTATAAGGGGCTAGATAGGTTAATAGATAAAAAAATAAATATTTCTCAATAAATACCAAAGGGGGCCTTGCCCCTGATTTACCTTTTGAACAATAACCCAGGATCGTTTTTCCGGTAGTCTGAAAAGAAGTTGCGAACAGTTTCGCGGACTGTGACCCTGGAACCATTGCAGTGCTGTTGAAAATCAACCAACTAGTTAACTACAGAGTTCCAAGAAATTGTCAATTTAGGTTCACGCTGAGTAAGGGCCGAACCGCCGCCGCTGCTCCCGAGCAGAACTTTGCTACGTTTAACCAAAAAGGACAGTGTTTTACCAGACACTCGACCCCCCACACCAATTCATCATGTCTCTCTGGAAGTAAGTAAGCCCAGGATCTGCATCCATATATCCCCCTCTTTTCCTAGTCGTTCTATCGCTCTGAACAGGGCTTAACTGACCCCGGTGCCTCAGATCATACCGCAATCTCTCCCCGCGCACACGAATGATCTTAGGCCTGGGACTGATGGGGTACGCCGCGTTTGGGCTATGGGCCGAGCCTCGTATGGAAAAAGCGCTAGGAATGGTGCCTACGGAGGCGGAAAAGGAGGAGCTGGATAAGAACATTCGCGTTCGGATTCGAAGTGTGGAGAAATGAGAAGGGCACTTTCTCGAGCGATTGGAAAGGATCCCCTCGCTATGTTCTTGACGTGCCAGGATGAACTTGGGTTGGCGCTATGACAATGGTGATGATAACGATGAGGAGTTGTTAGGGGTGAAGAGGGTTCCTGCGAGCGACAGGAAATTCTTGAAGTGCCATTCTCCCCCTAGAGATAGGGCCACGAGTGGCAAGGATGCCCTAATATTGTTTCAAACTATGGCGAGTATCTTCAGTCGCATGCAAACTCGCAATGGCCCTTGGTTATCTGATTTGGAGCCCCTGGGTTGCAATAGTTGGTAAGTTCGTTGAAAACCCCGGAGCTAATCATTTTCAATCAAGGAACACAGTACATACAGTATAGAGATTCTTGCTAACATTATATTCAATCTACAAAGCAAAGTAGCACATATTCTTCTGCGGTCCTGGCAAAGTCCTAACAAATGAAACCGACTATTCCAGACACGTGTTTTGACTGCCTGCGTACCTGGGCGTTGAGGCATCTGTCACACCCAGTGGACTTTGAAGGCAGAAGGTCATATGAGAGTATCTAATTCTACCCTAAAATGTTTAGATTTGCGATATGAAATCAGCTTTTGACCTAGCACTGTATCATTTCCTTATGTCTGGCGGTATTTCGATAACAGCAAGAATGTATTTTATAGAGAAGCATTGACTATCTAGACAGTGTGCAGATGATCCTATTTTAGGTCCCTAAACAAACAAAAAAAAGGCACATAACAAAGCAAGTCTTTATAACCCTGGCCATTTTCCATCACCCAAGCCCCGAATCCATATCTTTTTCCATCCTTACCAAACCACCCCATTTCCAGAAAACAGAAAGGAAATACTCCTTAGACATGCGAGAATAATGGAAAAAAAAGAAGGGAAAAAAAAAACGAGTACAAGGGTCCAGTGTCGGACCCTGCCTCTCGATCAGCCGTTCGGACGTTAAATTGTTCCCATCACCTGTTTTTGACAATTTTAAAATTACCGGGTTAACCATACAAAAGGAATCAAAAGAAAACAAAAGAACTCATAGTAAAACAGTCCAACGACCCTGAAGAGAGGTGTAAAAAGGTAGGGAAACTTTGTCGACATCAAAGATCAAACATAGGAAACAAAGCAAAAAGGCTGGCTAAAGGAAACTGGCGCTGTAAGCATGGTTGAGGATCATAGAGTTTCCCTCAGATCAAGCATAAAGTAAGGCGTCACTCATTCGCTTAAGAGAGGGTCCAAGGCCTAGGGGAAAATTGCGCATACTTGCAAGGAGCAGGCTCATAGGATTCATGACATCAATAAGAACTGCGAATGCATAAGAGAGTTTCTAAGCGGGGTATCGCGTGTTCCTTAAAGTAACTCATATCACTCGTTAACAGAGGGGGAAACCAATTGATGGCCGGGGGCAAGAAATATTGAGTATTTTAAGAGGCCACTTCAGGATCCCTTTTTAGACAACATCGAATGTTTGACTCGGCGAGTAAAACGGTTCATAAAGTTAATCGTTAGCTGAATAAACGAAAGCTCCATAGGAGACGAGAGGATACGGGGCGATAGAACAGGAAATATTGCACCGGGGAATTCTTGAACTACGTAATCGAACAGAAATGAAAAACCATTCCTTGAAACTCGAATTGAAAGAACATGAGCTGAAAACAAAGACATTCGTGGAACCTTGATGCTGCTTAAAAAAGAATGAGTTCGTAACGTCTTGTCTCACATGGTATGGGAATGGGGATCATAGCGGCCATAAGCATGGTTCTCTGAGCGAGCAGGGTAAGAAGGAAGTCTTCCGCCAGATGACGGCCGACTGACTTCCTGGTTCGCGTAACCGTTAGAGGCCTGACCTCCGATGTACCGGCTCGTTCCACCGTGGTCATTGTTTAACATTGGAATCATGTGGTCGAACGGTTCACCCAGAGATACGTCATTTTGGTCATGAGATTTGTTCGGGGCGTCATCGAATGATGGCAAAGGGCAACGAACATTTAACGATTCGACTCTGCGAGTTGCCGCGGGCGCAGACGCGAACGCTGATTGTCCGTATCCATCGATCGAGGTACCGGTTGTCATGGACTGCATCGAGTTAAGGGGGTCGTTCAACAGCGTATAATCATAACCTCCTGGGGATGAGGAGGACGAGGACACAAGGGAGCTTGCAGTCAATGGGGACTGGTCTGTAGATGGCATGCGGCGATAATCGTACTGGGAGCCGTTGCGTTGGATGGGATCATAAGAAAGGGATGAAATATGGGAGCGTGATGGTTGCTGTGCCGGTGGGTTTAATCCTGCGGGTATTCCTAAGTGGCCCATGGTTGAGCTTCCGGTCTCGCCTTCAACAGTTGCCATACGGCCACTGCCAGGCTGCTTTGCATCTTTATAATGACCGGGAGACCTTCCGCGGACGACAACAGGGTGAGAAAGTTTTCTCGCAAGCATGACCCGTTCAGTTCCATTGCCAAGCGGGTCAGAAACGTCCGCCCAAAGTTCGGCGACAAGGTTATAAAATTGTTGCTGGGCACGTCGTTTTCCGTTATTCGCCGTGGCTTTTTGAAATTGAATCCGCTCCCAAGTATGGGAGGTTGGAATTTGAGACGACTGTTGCGCGGCTCCATATGAGGAACCATAGTCCATTTGCATGCCAGCAGATTGAGACGGCGGCAATCCAAAGTTTAAGTGAGTATTGTTAGCTCCGTGATTAAGGAGAAGGGATGGGGGGGGCTGCGGCTGAATAATGGCACGCCTGGGCTTGCTTTCGGACTGTTTATCGCGTTTGGGCGTGTGCTGTATTAATTCCCGGGTTTCCTTTTCCTGTCCATTCACAAATGCAGATATTTTCATGCCGAATTCCAGGACTTTCTCTGGTGAGCGGCCAGGGCGTTGGATAAGGTATGTAGTACATACTGACCAAGGCCTCAGGGCAAAGGACACAGACACCGAAAAGTAGTTTCTGCGATAGCATGTCCAATATCCTCCTGCAATAAAGAACCCTTTATGGATTCTGGCCTGAATTTCGGGCTTCACAGCTTGGCCGTTGGCCATAACATTGTAATAAACTTCTGTCTCATGCCACGGGGGTGAATCTGAATTCGACAAAGTCAATCGAGGGGAAGAATCTATGAACAGATTTCCTGACGTTCCGTATACCCCATTTGTGGTATTGCTCATCGATATGTCGTTTGACCTTGTAGGGTATTGGTGATACCTCGTGGTGTCACCGTATGAGCTGCCTGTTTGCGCTACCGAGAGTCCATTTCTGGACATCCCATACATCGAATAGCTGTCTCCTCGGCTGATCATACTACCTGAAGAAGGAAGCATAGTGCCTGGCGAGTGCATCGTATGTGGCATTCCCGAAGGTGGCTGCCTAGATAAACGAGTCAGCTAGTAACCAAAATAAAATCATATACACACAACGGGATGGAGAAGACGCACAGCGGTGGCATCCGTGAGTACCGATAGTCCACCATTTCAGTCGAGGGCACGATAGCGGGGTGCGGCCTTGATGGGAATGTATCTGACGAGTCACTTTCGACTGAGACCAAAGGGCCCACGTTGCTGCTAGGTAGAGACGCAAAGGAAAATGCTGTATGTTGAGATTGTGCACTATCTGGTGATGATCCAGCGGAGGATACTATCAAGTTCTTGACTTCCCCAGCAACACAGAAGCTAAGGTTATGGCAGTCAGCAGCAGCACCATGCATCTCAGGGTGTATGTGGTGATGATAGAAGATTCTGAGGGTATGCACAAGTGAAAACAGGAGATGTAGAAATGCAAGCCAAATTGCGAACCAGACAGAACAGAACGTAAGATGCTGAGACAAAGTGATGACCAGGCAGAGATTATTCTCAGCTTAGCGCACAAGAGGACAAAAAAGCTGGTGTGCGCTTTTGATAGCTGAGGAACACGTAAATGGAGGACAGAAGCAAAAGAAAAACAAGAGCACCAGGACAACAAATGATTCAGCGAATAGATGACGCGATATAGTTCAGTCATGTTGGCTCGGCGGCAAACTTGATAACCAGAAAGAGTAGCCTATTTCATAGTTTAACTGATAGCATGATTGTGTTGCTCTGGCATGTTGAACAAGATGACAAGTGGTATGCAAAATGAAGGAACTGGAGCAGGAAAAAAAGGGATCTAAGTGCTATGTCTCAGAGTATTTCAGGATATTGCTAACTTGAAGAGTTGCACACTTACAGCGCATCCTGAACCTCAGATTGTGGCGAAGTGGATCTCGAACCGTTGGACACCGAGTCCGATGGGATCACCTGATAACCAAATATGCCAGTTCTGCCGTAGTTCTCTTTAGTGTCTTCGGAAACTGCAGAGCTTTTATCGGATAGGGATCGAGATGATTCGTGGAGTCGGTTTTCGGAGGGTGTCGTGGATTCAAAATGGATGGACCTGTGTAGGAGCGCTGCGAATGCCCACTCAACATCAGGATTGTAGTCGATATTTAGATACCGGAAGCCGGCATGTTATTAAAAGGAGGACTCCAAGCTTGAAAAATATATATATATAGAAATTCAGAGGAAGACTTTTCTTAAACGCAGAATGTAGACACAGATGCGATCATGACGCGGGATGCCACACCTCTGGGGATAAGAACGGGAAGACGCAAGGAATAGAGAAAGTATTGATAGATTAACGTGGCTGAGGAAAAAGGGGTATTGGTAGAACGGGGAAAGATAAGAAGACCAAAAGTCGACGTTAAAATCCTCGGAAATCGTGGATGATCTCCCGCTGAGAGCGGGATTAATCCGTTATTTCGATTCTAAAGTCGTACCAGATGGAAACAAGCTTACTAGAAGTCATTTGTCAAGTTCTAACAACTTGTGAAGGATCCGAAGCGGGCTGCGCTCGATTGGGTTGTCTTGATATTGGGAATAGCTCAAGAAAGTGAAGGAAATGAGAGATGCCTCGATCCAGGTTATGATACCTCAACCGGCGATGTCTCTGCGAAGTCGGGTCAAGGTGGCAGTCCCAGAACCAAATGATTGGGTAGTCTCCAAAGACTAGGGATTCATAATTCCTTTCCGGTTGGTGATTAAGATTGAGCCGATTCTGCGAAAAGTGCTGCAAAACAGTGTCACTATGGATCTGTGGCCTTCAAGAAAAAAGGGCAAAGTATAGGGGCAAGTCCGCCATATGATGCCACTGCAAACCTGCCGTGGATCCTAGGAATGCAATATTACCAACCAAGGGGGTCATAAGGTAAAAGAACACTGGCTAGACGACCACGAATACGGCTAATCAAAGCAGTGGGGATAACCGATGACCTTTCATACATACTTGGCATATGATGGCTGCGTGCTCAAAGGGTAGCAACGTTAGACTTTGGTCGCAGCCAATTCGCAAAAAAAAGAGGGTTCGGCGGAACAGAACCGGGATCGAAACGACGTGGGGTATGGTTGAGATGGTAAGGAGGGAGGGATATAGTAGGCGGCTGCACAATGACTTGGCCTAGGAATGTGTAACGGTCCCGGTTGGCTCAATCCAAAGGTTTATTCTCAGCCCCAGCTTTGGCTTGAGTAGAAGCAATTACCGGCAACGAATAAGCTAGGTGGATCCCCGTAGGCGATCGACGACTAAGCAGATAGCCCTTGTCAGGTGCGCGATCAAAAAGAAAATACCACTCGAATACAACACCAACAAAACAATGAATTTCCGGGATAAAAAAAGAGACAAATCACCAAGTGGGAGAAGAACGGAAAAGCCGGAGAGTGAAAAGGGTAATAAAGCGCAATGGACACACATATAGAAGCAGTGATATGAGCAAGAAGGCGCACAAGGATAGAATGCGAAAGACACTAGAAAACAATGCTAGGTGTAAAAGATCTCGAAGCAGCTTGCCGTTTCACTTACCAGTTAGATTTGGTTGGCTTTCAAGAGGAAAATGATGGGTAGTGGGTTGTCAAATAAATGGTATATGGAGGGCCTTTAAAAGCAATTTGCCGAATGACCAACTCAAAACGGGATGGTATCTTGTGAGAAACGCACGATAATTATCTCGCAGCTGGCCGAAGCCGGCGTAGGAAAATCAGTGGTAGTTATCAAGCTTTCTGTGAGCAAAACTTGTTGTTTGTAGAGCAGCCCCGAGATATATCTAGGAAGCAAAATGGCCCTGCTGTTATCAGGCTCTAATAAGGTTCTTTCTCTCCTCCTTTTTGAGACCACTTTGCTTTTTCCCGTCAAAATTTTAGCCAATAGCCACGGTCAACAAGAAACCTAAGAGAAGTAATGACATAAGAGCGTAAATCCGTTCTTTCATGGGGTATACATATAATTCCGCACTCCGTACGAAATTTGTAGAAGTATGGTCCGGGGCGTGGAGTTATCGGGACTGGGGGCTAAGCATACGGTAAGGAGACGAAGCTCCGAACCCCAGGTCAAGATCGGAGATGGCTTATCCAATCCGATCGAATAAGGGGGATGCTAGTGTCCTCAAGACATCCATATCAGTGGCTCCTCGTATTTTAACCAGTGCCAGGCGCCAGGAAAGCTGCCGAGCGGAGAATGTGAAGGTCGAAACGCAGCAAGGGACGAAGCAGATTATACCTTCAGCAAGCATATTATGGGTGATGATCCTGGATCCACCTATTGAATCGCTGCAGGTAACCACCTTAAGCCCCCGCTGGTCGGTCCTTTATAGGTTGTTCTGCCGAATTCGAGAAGACTTGTTAACTGCATTCGCAAAGTGCGGAGCGTCGAAGTTGCGGATGTTGGGGAAGAGATTAATTCCATACAGGCCACAGCGCTCAATAATACTTTGCATTCCTGTAAGGAGGAATCGCGGTAAGTTTGCAGTTGTCAACAATGCAAGGTTGGTTAGCTCCGCCTTTTTATTTGCCCCACGCCAATGACAAGCTCGTAGAAGACCTGAAAGATGTACGGAGTACTCCGTACTTCCTTTCACTCTCACATTATACGTATGTATACAGGATTCAAGCTTTAAAGGGCATCATAGCAAAACATACATACCCGAGTCAGTACATATCTCCCAGTGCAAAATAGGTTAGTCATAACGCGGAAACGAAAGAGTTGCCAACCCACGGACATATGAGTACGATTGAATCCGCGACCGTTCGATCCGGCGAGTCGCGACCAGCCAACACTTGGCGACCAATTGCGACCAACGCGACCATGAGATGGTCTGAGTCCGATCCGGAGTAGTCCATCTATGCACATCGAAAATGATCTCCCACAGGGCAGAACTAAGCTGGCTTGGCGGGAGGGATTCCAATCTTCATCGGCGGGAGAATTAGAACACACACTGTCCATACTAAGTGCACGGAAATCAGGCGATCAACGGAGAGAAAGAGCAACATCGATTGGTGGATGATCCCAGCCACAATGCGACTGCATTTTATGAGTTTCAGTAGTGCAGATGATCGACCAGTAGCAGAGAATCCTGTTTTTTTTGGAATCCCAGCAGAAAGCTTGAGCGTCCTGGTCACTTATAATAGTTTATTTTTCCAGGGTTTGCAGTAAGCTCCGGTTCTTCCATGCTTTGTATGGAGGAGACAGAGATGCTTTTAATTTCTTTTTCTCTTTCGGTTTCCTTTTCGCCTCTTCTCGACGTGCCAGAAAATAAGATTTGATGAGAAATGACCCGCACCCGCAGCACAAGAGAAGAAAAAAAAAAAGAAATATTGAAAGCAAATTGTTTCTTGTATCCCTCGCACTTGGATGGAAGATCATCACATGGCAAAGAACGACAATTAGCCATGTGCCGAGTAGTAGATCAAAGGGACCAATACCAAAAGAATTATTCATTGATAACCTTCCATCTCCCCATTAAGCCAGCTGCTAGACATGGGTATGGGGTGGCAGGGCCGCAATATTCTGCGATACCCATCAATGTGTCGAAACAAAGCCAGGTCGCAGTACCCTGGTAGGTGACTTAGCTATTGCTTAGACTGAGGAAATTTCGCCCCAGGGTCCCGGATATCCGTTATTAGCAGAGAGCGAGGGCAAGGCCGCGCTGGAATTGGCCAAGATAGACTACTACTAAAAGCGGAAGCCTGAGCTGCTATGGGCAATGTCTTGCATACTACCCTGACGACATGGTTGTACAAGCACGCTCTGCCAACAGGCACTGGGATTAGACAGGTAGTTAATAACGGTGACCGTTTCGACTCTGGCCTGGACATCAGGTCCCGCCTACATCCTCTTACCCACAGTGCGGATGGAGGCAGATAGTTATTTCCACTGTAATCATGTCTCGAAATAAACTTTCATAGACGCAGCTAGAGGAAATAATTCCGGTCAGATCTCTCAGGCATTGCGGCATGGTTGGAGCAGTGACCAGGATGGAGACTGACCGTGACAAAGACACCCAAGTTACCGGGGGAGAACAAAGTAACCGACTGCCCTCTCGTCAAGCGAACGGTCCGCTGATTAGCAGTTAACTCGTTATGTCTCCTACATCGTTCCTATCATTCTTGTTATGATGGAAGCTGAGGCGATGATCAACTCTCCCCAGTGGCAGCACCCGCCAACCCCAACCACACAAAAGACAGGAATGGACGACGTCCTCAGGCCCGCGAAGGCGTGACGTTCCTCTGGCCGCCGCCCAGCCCAAACCCGATCGGGGAAAGCCTGGCTCAGTCCAAACATTCCCAGCCCCAACTCGCCCAACTCGCCCAACTCGCCGCAGGGTGGCTCGTGCACGGGGCTTGCCGATCGCTTGGCAACCTT